ACGACATGCCGATAAGCTGCCTCCATTAATAGTCCTTGGCGAGCAAGGTAGGGGAGACCCTCACCAATCCCCGTCCTCGCCGCTAAGCGCCCAGGTATAAAAACCAAGTCCTGGACCAAACAAGGACAGGCAAGTAAGCACCATACTTTCCTGAATACTACTAACTCTCTCCTCTCCTACCCCTTTGACTTAAGCATTGGAGGGGTCACATTAGGACATCCCCCAACGCTAACCTAGTGTATAGGATCCCCGGTGCGACAAAGGAGGCACTGCGAGATGACTCTCCCACGGGTAAGGCGGTTCGTCCTCCCAGGCCAATTCACTCCCCCCACAGGCAAGAAGCTCTTCACGCCAGCTCTCTACGTCGACGCCTCACGCCAGCTCCCCGTAGGCCAGCCAGCTCTCCATAGCGCCTCTCTACACCCATGCCTCACGCCAACTTCCCACAACAGTTCTCCATGCCAGCTCGTTATGTTGGCACCTCACGCCAGCTCCCCGCAGGCCAGCTCTCCACAGTGGCTCTCTACGCCCACGCCTCACGCCAACTCTCCACAACAGTTCTCCATGTAAGCTCTCCAGGAAGGACCTGCACTTTTGGCACTGAATCAAGCCGAGCTGACTTGTCAGTCGACAGCCTCAGTGTAACAACAGTGGTCTACCGGGAGCAGAAGGTTGCTGCCATGCCGTCCACCACTGGGAAAAGGGGTTAGCATCCGGGTGGCAGTGAGTTGGCAGGCCAGTCGGCAGGTCAAGACTGATGTCAGCATATTCCCTATCAGGCTATTTCTTCTTTCTTCAAAGGCTTATCGCCTTGAGATCAAACAAGATGCAACCTCAAACATAAATGACAAGTATAAAGACGAAATATTTCAAAAGAACAGTTGCTCAAAGCACGATTTTTTGATACGCAACACAAATGCTAGCATAAATCAATCAACAAACTTCCTCACAAACCATCACTTGAAACTTTAGATGATAATGACAACAGGGCAAATAGAAGCCCGCAGTATCAGAAAGAAGCAGATTAGTTCTTCCCCTGGATCTCTCAGGATGAATTCGAGAAACGAGAGAATATCTGCAACGCTCACCTCGTGGAGCTGGCAGCAGCTCTTCGGAGCCCCAACATGACGATTCCTCTGCCGATTCCGCAAATACAAGAGAATCGAACGTAGTAGGGGAAAGACCAAGAACTCTCTAGCGCTCAACGGAGCTCAAGAATTAGACACGGAGCGAGGAAGCGACGTTAGCCGCCCGTGAAACCCTAAACCCTACTGACCTCAGGATGGCACAGAGCACTCGTTACAGCAGCTTAATTTTGGGTTGGGCTCCATAAATGTCGACGGACCTATTTGGGCCGCATAAATGACGTCATATACATTGAAAAATGACGCCATATACACGTAACCGCCACATAGCACATGATGGGTCCCACTCTTCCTCCATTTCGGAGTGAGCCTTCCTGGTTGTTACAGGCAGCAAACAGCGGTTTACGCCAATAGATCACCGCCACGTATCCGATTTAATCCTTTTGAGGACTGTCGATTTAGGGATCGTCGTCATTTTGGGAGCGCCCGCAACACTATGGAGTGATGGGTAGACCTCTTCCGCCTGGATGCAACGGTGGTGGCTTCTCCAACATCCCTAACCCTACGGGAAGTTCAGCAAATTTCTCATCGCAAGGATGCGCTGATTCCGCGTTGCAGGTAATACAACCGGCCCTGTTTCTTACCTAGGTCATCCAGGCAGTGAAATTTTACCTGTTTGCTAATAAAGGACTGGTTACTTGATTTTGCCGATCATTGCTAGTTTCTGCATGCCTGGGTTTGGAAGAAGGGCTCTTTTACCTCCGAGGGAGAAGGCGATCTAAATTAGAAGATTAGTTTATGTCTCTACTCTGGTAATGCTTCTTCTCTGTGCCACGAGTGGTTTGTTTGGAAGAGAATGAGTAATATGTTTATCGGGTGAAGTCCACAGAGAGTTGAGTGTCAATAAATAGACAGCTTCACCAGGACAACGTTTATGATTCAATCTAGTTTGCCTTATTATTAATTGTTTAAAGAAATTGAATTTTTTTTACCAATGTTCTATGCTTTGGTAACTCATTATTTTGTGTTGTATAACATGATATTGATTGAATCCAGTTATTAGTGATAAGTGAGGACAACTATAGTATGAAATATGCATGATTGTCGATGGAAATTATATGTTACTTGGAAATGTGAGGTGCACAAAATGATTAGACATTGCATACCCATGAAAAGAGAAACATATTATGGGGGATTTCTTTTTAGAAAATTGATCTAGATTAAAGGTCCAGCCTCACTGGGTATGTTTGATAGTCTGTACCTTGTTAGTTGATCCAGAGCCTCTTGCTTATCCCTTCACTCATCTCAAGATTTATAAATACATTGCCAACCATATTTGTTCATTAATTAATGTTATGTAGGTCTCAAAGGTCCCACAGAGGTTAACATCTGACAGGAAATAATTACTTGCTGATGTTATAGATAGTGCACTTGTTATTGGTTTCCCAACCTTTCTTTTTATTGGCATGTCTGTTCTTTATATATCATTAATTTATGCCCATTGAAATTATCTGTGCTTCTCAATCCTCTTGAATTTGTTGGTCTGACAGTACAGGGTGAAGGACATCAAATACAATTGCGTCCACCTTCGGCAAAATATGCACAACTTCATGGCTTAACTTCATGTTCTAGCATCTCTTTTGCCAACATTCTTCTCGTTTGCCGATATGTTGGTTCTTTACTTAAATGCAAGAATACACGGTTATCTGCTGAGCAGGTAGTTTCTTTCAGGTGCATCTATATAACTAATGTGCCAAGCATTAGTTTCTCTGCAGTTAGAGAATATGAGATTCATGAATAGAAATTCTTTTTAAGTTCTCTGATAGATCTGGCTGTGTTCTTTGCTAAGAAATAATAGCTTGGCAGTGATAGAACAAGATTTATAGATGGGAAAGGATTTTAACCTTCTATTTTAGGGAGGAAGAATGATTGTTCTCGACATGGATTTATAAAGTTGAGAACAGCTATTCAATCTAGTTCACTTTACCCCTTAAAAACAATATTTACATGATAGTACTTAGAATGCTGACTGATGATCGACATATGGCAAGACTATAAGAACATGGAACTCAATTATGAACCATAGGTGAGCATTTTTTCCCCTCAAATATTCCCTCAAAAGAAGTTATCCGGTATGGTTGCAAAAGAATATTACAAAGCTTCAAAATTTTTTCTCCATGTTGGAAAGTAATCTCCATATTGTTCAAACTAAGCATGAAAACAATGAGAAAGTTGCAAGTTCATATCGTCCATGATCAAGAGACTTTGAGCTTTTCCTAGAAGATCCGTCTGGAGATGCTGGAAGGTCTTTGGAACCTATCTGCTGTGGCAATTTCTTTGAATCAGTCGGTATCGCTAAAATGTATTACAGGCATTAGTTGACATAAGATTGTCCAACTCTGTCATGAAGTTCAGAAACGTTTACACCGTCAGTTGCCATTGAGATGATCTATTCTCCACCTACCTCATATCCCCACAAGCAAGATTTGTACATGAGACTTATGAATAGGTTCACTAGATAGCTTCTCAGTGCTTTCTCTCTCCCTTTTGCCATGATTATCTTCTGCTCTTCTCGATACCCCTCAAAGAAAAGAAAAAGAAAGCTTCTGCTCATCGTGCATGATTTCTCCACCATACCAAGTATTGGGTACATTGACAAGTTCAAACAACACTGGTCCTCTCACTTCTCTTTTCCATTCTCAGATTAATAGAACACATCTCTTCTTTTCTTTGGATTTGTCTCAGGGTTCCCTTTTCTCATCATAGCTGCAAACTCATCATAATTTATTCTTCCATCCTGCATGTTGACAGTGATTTAGATCAGAATTGTGTTTTCCCAGACTGCTACTAATATACTAGATGGCTAGACAGGTTCTAGTAATATTCTGCATGGCCTCTTTCTACTTACATTGTCAACATCAGCTTCAGCAATTATATCCTTGATTTCCTTGCCGTCGTATAGTCCTTTCTCTTTTAGAGCTTGCTCAAGTTCTTCCTTTGTGATATAACTATAGAAAGAAAAAGGTGTTAGTATTCAGTTAGGTCACCAATGTGTCTAATTTATTATCCAATGCATCATTAAAACTATTTCATTGTATATTGTTTTATATAAAATCAATGTGTTATGCTGTTGTTTTGCACAAAACCTACCCGCTGTTGTCCTTATCAAAGTACTGAAATGCTGTATATAGATGCTCTTCTCTATCCATTCTGTTCATGTGCATTGTCGCTGTAATAAATTCCTCATAGTCGATAGTTCCGTTCCCATCTGCATCAGCCTGTGTTAAGTGTATTAGATTAGATGGTACAACGATTAGATTCTTTCTATCTGGGTTGATTGATTGAATTTGTCAGTAAAATTTTGGGTGCATGTAGAACTCACAGCTTCCATCAGCTGTTTGACTTCATACTCCGACAGCTTTGTTCCTTGCTTGGAAAGACCTTGTTTTAGTTCTTCGAGAGTTATAGTTCCACTATTGTCAGAGTCCATATTCTTAAACATTTCCTTCAGCCCTTTGATCTCTTCCTCTGATAAACATCCTGCTATTACCTGCACATATTGACAGCAAACTCATTGATAGTATCAACTACAGGCCTTGCCAGTTTTGAGTGCCTTATTTTCTTTCCTCTCTCTAAGAAGTCTGAAGAGCTTTCAAGTCATGAGGATCAACGGTGAGAAGTATATTGTAGGATATCCAGGTAGACATTCTTTCATGTTGTTAGACACAAATTTAGGTCACCAAGCTTTCCATTAGTGATCCTTGAATTATGTCACCAAATAATTCTAGTCAAACATATAGCGAATTTTGCAGACATTGGGTTAATACAATCTGTGAATGGGGAAACAAGAAATTTACCCTTAGGGCAGCTTTCTTAAACTGGTTCATTGCTCTAAATTGTTTCAGCCTGTTGAGGACAGCATTGTCAAGTGGTGTGTCAGGTGCTTCTCCATCTTCCTTGATCCATGGATGGTCTGTATTGTAAGTCCATAATCAGACAAGACAGTTTGCATGAGATTTCCTATGTGTTTGCATAGTAAAGATATTCTTGGTTCAAAACACATGGAAAGAGCTTGTATTTAGGGTGGAAGATTCTCAAAATAGACTATATGTGGGTTTTTTTTGTCTTAATATGTAAGCATTCCTTGATCTTGTCTGGATGTAAAAACCAGGGAAGATGTTGACTGCCAAACCAGGCCTCAACCTGGTGGTGGCAAGATGTTTGACTAAATTACACAGGCAAAATTTTATTTTATCTCTTCTTTCTCGAATTGTAATTTATGACTCCAAGATTTTTAGACAACTAACTTAGTTTGCTAGTAATGCTAGTGAATCACAAAATAGATATCATTGAGTTGCATGAAAATTGGTCATACTGAGAACTTCAAATGCTGTCAGCCTCTGTCTGGGGTCCAAGTTCAGCATCTTTCTCACAAGATCCTTAGCACCAGGTGAAATGTTAGGCCATGGGTCACTTGTAAAGTCAATCTGCCCCCTTAGAATAGTATTGAAGATCCCCTGCTCAGACTCTGATAGAATAAATATTAGTTTGACTTTTTGGTTTCATGACTTTGGCAGCACAAACAAGAATTATTTGAATAGATGAAGAAGCACCAGCCCAGAATGGAGGAACTCCACAGAGAAAAATGTAAAGCATCACTCCTATGCTCCAAATATCAGCTTCTGGCCCATATCTTCGCTTGAGGACCTCAGGTGCTATGTAATATGCACTGCCAACTATGTCTTTGAATACCTCACCTGTTCAGGAGAGATCTTAATTTAGCTGATAGCTAGATGATCCAGAAGCGGATGAATTGCAATCAGGATTGCATCAGATGCTGCAAAACCAAAACATGAAAACAATTGCTCCAAAGACACAAAAAAAAAAAGAGAGAGAGAGAAGATGACATACTACCAAAGCAAGGAAAAGAGAATCTTCCCAAGTAGGAAATATTTAGTGACTGCAAGTTCCAAGTAGGAAACATTAAGATGTCCTTCACACTGTGTTCTGGGTATCAATATCATCAAGAAGACTTTACATAAAGATACATCCTGGGTGATGGTTTATATTAGTAGAAGAAAGATTGCAACTTTGCTTTCTTGTATCATTGTTTGAACCACATATCATATATATGTTGCAAGAAAAAAGTTGAAGCCGAAGCAAGTTAGAAGACATAATAATGAGATTTATGCTCATGTAAATGCTGAGTTTTTAGGGGGTGGATGTATGTCCTGTTTATATATAGAATAAGAATGAAGGCTTTTCGGTGCTTCTTCTTCCTTTACCATTCAAATGCAGTTTTCTTTCTTTCAAATGACTTCCCTTGTTCTTTGTAGAAGCAAACACAGTTTCGTCGAACATGTGGTGGACAAAAAGGCGGAAGAGGAGGGGAAGAAGAAGGAAGAAGAAAAGAGAACTGAATCGAATCAATGGAGGGGCACAGAAGAACTAAACCTTGCTTGAAGAAAACAGAGAGCCCAAAGTCGGTGGCCTTGAGCGGCGCATCCTCATCCTTGTTCAGCAAGAGGAAGTTCTCGGGCTTGAGGTCCCTATGCATCACCCCCATGGAATGGCAGGTGTGGACGATCTGCACGATCGTCCTCAGCAGCGACGCGGCCGCCCGCTCCGTGTAGTGGCCCCTGGCGATGATGCGATCGAACAGCTCCCCTCCCGCGCACAGCTCCATGACGAGGTGCACCGACTGCTTGTCCTCGAAAGCCCCCTTCAGCTCCACGATGTTGGGCTGCCCCGACAGGTGGTACATGATCTGGACCTCCCTCCTGACGTCCTCGATGTCCTCCTTGTTGGCGAGCTTACGCTTCGCGATGGTCTTGCAGGCGTACTTGTCCCCGGTGGCCTTGTGGGTGCAAAGATGGGTGACGCCGAACTGGCCGCGCCCCAGCTCCTTCCCGAGGGAGTAAGTGGTGCGGACGTCCTCCATGGGCCGGCCGAGCACGGGGCCGATGGGAGCGGCCGGCTTAGGGGGCGGGCTGAAGGCGGCGGTGGGTACGGGTGCCGTCTGGACGGGGGCGTCATCCGGGGCCGGGCTCGGGTCCGGCGCGTGGGCGGGGGTGTCGGCATCGGTAGGCGTGGCGGGGTCGGCGGGCTTCTTGGTGAAGCAGTTCCCCATCGAGGATGAGGAGGAGGGGGCGGTGGAGGAGGGAGGAGGAGATGGGGAGATGGCCTACGAGGGACGGAGAGGAGGAGGTCGCATGTGTGCGGTGGGGAAAGGGAGGAGGAGAGGGCGGGGCGGTGAGAGGCTGTGGATGCGGACGGTGAGAGGGGATTCAGGAGGGGCGGATATGAGTTGGACAGGGGAGGGGACGTTGGGCGCGGAGTAGAGGTGAAGAGAGATTGGCGGGAGCCCAACTGCTCCCTCTCGCCTACATTAGGATCGACAGTCGATTGGTTGGGCCGCGGGCCTCCCTTGATGGGCCTCGCGTTCCACGCGATCTCACTCGTTTTGAGCCGTAGCAGTCGTGCCCCAAGTCCTAACCCTGCATCCAATCATTGGTCGACACGACCTGTTCTCCCATTAGCTGGCCCAAAAAGATAGATTAGTCGACTCACAACAACAGCAGCAGCCTTCGAAGACCCCCTCTTCGACGTGGCTGTCTTCTCGACAGCTCGACATGTTTCCTGGAGACTGTTCATCCGTCTGTGATCAGGATTTGACCAACGGTATCAGGTTTTGACCAAATATATACAGCTTCGGTGTGCGTCTGTGATCAATTGTTGCTGAAGTCGAAGAAAATATTATATTGGACGCAACAGCACAGTCAAACCAATGAAACTTGATATTATATAAATCTGGTGTTAAGCATTTTGACCAGATATATATATATAAATATATATATATATAGTGATTTCTTAATAATAATAATAATATAAAAAATCAATTAATCAATGTGAATAATAAAGGATATTTAGATATTAATTTTTTTATTTTTAAGTTCCGATGATAGTCATGGTTATTAGTATAATTTAAAGGGATAAATATGCTATTTCTAAATTTTGATAGGGATGAATACTAGAAAATTAAATTGTTATCTTATGCTGACTGGATCACAAGGCAGAGTAAATTAGTCCATCACCAGCAAAGTTGTGCTGCAGTCCTTAATTAAATATAAGAAGAAAACAAAAGGAGATTGGACAGCTATAACAAGTCTTCTCCATTTCTTCTGGAGACATGAGACAAGCTGGGAGGAGAGGAGAGGAGAATCGGAAAGGGACTGTGCTTTTGACTAAGTGTGGAAACTACACAGCCACAACATCCACTGCATCTGGTGGTGTAATATTACAGTTTGATCTTCTAAAATCCTAATATTATGATACAGAGTACTGAACACAATACAGAATGAGGGATGTATTCATACTTAGAAGATGTTTTATCTCATGTGATGAACTCCAAACCGTGGAGAAGTAGGCATATGTTAGCAATGATCAACCATCAATCTATAGGTAGTGGGTGTTAGGAAAGCCAATGGGATGTGAGTTTGCTTCAGCACAGCACATGACCGATTTGCAGTAAAATAATAATAAATCAGAGAGATAAACCCAATCCTCCTACCTAACACGTCCTTTATGTAGGCATAGCCGTCTATTATAAGATGGTTGGCATAGTCGACGAACGAACGTGGCTAATCGTGATTCGATATCTCGGTCGATAAAGATGGTTAATCAATAATAAATTAATATATTTATGTTACGATCGAAAGGTATAGCCAAGCGGATCGATAAGATATTTCTATTAATTAAACTAGTTGATGCCTTCGAATGTTGATTGGGTTTAAACTAGACAGTAGTAATACATAGGAAGGGAGTCATGTGTTTTAGCTTTAACCACACAAATTTACTACAACAAATAAAATTGGGACAATCACTTGAAACCAAAAGTATGACTGACTGATTTGGTGGGGTTGAAGATTGGCTGGCATAGTGAGAGTGACCAAAATGTTTTATGAGTAGGACCTTAAAATGCTAGTGTTTGTGCTGTTGTTTGATCTCCTTTCCGTGAACACAAAACATCACCTTCGTCAATGTCGGCTGGTGTTTATGCCGTTGTTTGATCTCCTTACCGTGAAGCTTTGGACATGTGACATACACGTCACTCGCTGACTTCTATTGGCCCCTTTTCAAGCCAAAAGGCTCCTTCTCTTAATGGTCAGCCGTCATTCTACCAACCCAATTAAAAAATAATAATAATAATTAAAACGTTTAAGATGATATAAATATAAATATATATATATGTCATTAATTTTTGAAAAATATTTCTTTTTTTTTTAACTTTTCTAACTCTTTGTTTTTGTCTAAATACCTAAAACACCAATTTCTTTTCCCTTTCATTCATTCCTTTTTCCTATCAATCGGTATATAAGGTTAATCGATCTAATTATAATATTTTTATATTATAAAATAATATTTTTTTTAATAATATCATAAAAAAATTATGTTATAATATCTTTATATGGCATGATAGTATTTTTCTAGTATTATTAAAAATAAAAATAATATGATATAAAAATACTATAAATATAAATATTTTATAATACGTAATATTATTTTTTGATATTATTAAAAATATTATAACTAAATCGCTTCACCCTATACATCAATATATTGAAAAAGAGAAAAAAAAAAAAAGAAGATAAATGTATCAAGCAAAAAGAAATTGAGGGCTAGAGAAATCAATAAAGAGGAATTGTTTTTGGGAATTCGTATATATATATATATATATATATATATATATATATATATATATATATAGGGGCGCGCCGGACCATCGCTGTCTCGATGACGTCACAACGGGCCTCATCTAGTACGTCAAAGTCTCGAGCCCTCCTTCGTCGAAAACCACGTGGCACAATTATTGGACATGATTGATTGCTTCTAATAGTATCCTCACGTGCGTCCGTCAAACCCGACCGAGCAATCCTTCGGCTTCTCCAAAGCACGTCTTTGTCTTCAACCTCAGCTTCCAGGAAATTAACCGCGCTCCTTTTTCCTCCCAAGATTACCGCTCTTACATATCACCATAAATAACCAAGTATCCCTTGTTGGATTCCACAACTGAGGGCACGGCAGTACACCTTCACCCACCGTCTCCCTTGATTGCTTCATCCGCTCACCCATATCTGTGGGTAGCAGCAACCAGCATCACACACCTGCACTTGCAGCACTTCTGCTTCCCTTCCTCTATATTTCCCCCTCACCTGGCCTTGCTGCTGCCATACCAGACATGGGGAGGCCGAGCGTGGTCCCCCGGAAGACCCCCGGGCAAGCCAAGGCCAAGAAGAAGCCCATCAAGGTGGTGTACATCTCCAACCCCATGAAGGTCACCACCAGCGCCGCCAAGTTCCGCGGCCTGGTGCAGAAGCTCACCGGCCGGGACTCCAACGTCGCCTACATGGCCGCCACGGACTCGTCGATGGCGGAATCCCTGCCCGGATCTGCAGCGGCCTACGAGGCACCTCGAGATCCGAGCTTGGAGTCGACGGGTGCAGTCGATGATCCGTACAAGGCCGCAGCGGCGTCGCCGTTTGAGGTGTTCGATGATGCTTTCACCCCGCAGACGTTAGATGGCCTTCCGCTGTACTATGAGTCTCTTGTAGGTGGATCTTGGATGGCCAGTGAAGCGTGAGCAATCGTGAAAGGGCACATATATGTTGATCTGTATCTAATAATAAGACATGTTTATTACGAGAGCATACTGATGGTGTTTGATGGCGGCACAGCCGACCATCCTAAGCTTTGCAATGCTTTCTCCTTGTCTCGATCTGAAGGCTGAGCAAAAGCTTCCCATGGCGCTTTCTTTTGTTGATCCGATCCGTCCTCTTCCGTTTCTCGTTCGATCTTTTCCTACTCTTCCCTCTTTTTTCGCTGCTCCTCTTGTTTACAGCATCCGTGGGACACACGTTTGGATTCAAATTCCAAGTTGCTTGTATGGTTTGAGACCATAGCAAAGGATCGGAGGTGAGGGGGATGATGAATGGGAAAGCATGTATGATCATAAGCAGGTTTAGATTCACAAAGAGGTTGCAGTGCATGCTCAGGCTTCGCTCACAGATTATGGTATTGGGAACTACTTTGTGGGTCTTGTCATGTGTTGCACGGAAGAAAGAAGTAATAATCCAGAAATCACCAGTCCCCAAATCCAAAAAAAAGGAAGACAGAAAAAGATTAAGAGTTGTACGAAATGATCGCAACAAAACTAAAGCAAGAGAAGCTGTTTGAGATGCACAGACAGACAGGCGGACACATCTTGAATGCTTGACACTGCCTGTTTGAAGCTTTCTCCAGCATTAAAGCTGAATTAAGTGCAATAGATCCATCCAAAACCATAATCGCTATCGATGGTCGTAGATAATCTCAAATAGGAGTAGCATCTTAATGGATGGTCTTCATGCAGGCACTGCACTGCACTTCACTGCACAGCTCCAGCCACTGGTTCAATACATGTTGTTCTTGGTGTGCTCTTTTCTCCTATGTTTGATGTCATGGTGATCTAATATTACATTTGTCATGATCTAAATTCTCAAAAAAGAAAGAATAGATAATCTCTGATCTGATCTGTATATATTATTCTCCTATTTTATGCTTATAATTTTTGTCGAGGGATTGTGGTCACTAATATCAGAGTATATATGTATATGGAGGAGAGAGAATAAAAAAACAAGATGAATTAATTCTGACTTGTATATTTGTGTACAATCACATACGTTATTATATATGTGTATATATGTATGTTTATACGTGCATATGAAAGAAAAGTAGATTAGTAAAGAGGGAATATTATGATGATTAATGCAGGAGATATTTTCTGTTAAATTATTTTTGCTCCAAATTCCTTTCAAAACATACATTGTAGAATTTGGTCATGAATAGTTGTATTGTCTTTATCACAGAATTACAAGACAATGACCAAAATATTATTTTGATCTTTATCAGAGAATTAGATGACAGAGACCCAAATATTATTTTGGTCTTTGTATTGTAATTCTCTGATGAAAACAATATTATTCGGGATCAAAAATTTCAAGGTGATAGCAATTTATGCTTATGGATTCCAATTAGCTTCTTCTTGTTAGGATCGGAGCGGCACTATATAGCGGATTAAAACTTTTAAGTTCGAAAATGATTCCGTAAAATGTAAGAAGATTTCGCTTTGATTGTAACTTGAGTAAAATAAAAACCGGAAACTTGCTACTAGGTAGATAATGATTGTAGAAAGGTAAGTACTCACACATTCAATGAACACGTCAATTTAAAGTAGTTCAGTCAAATAACCTACATCCACTTGCGAAGCCTTCTTCGAAGAGGCTCCCAACTTCCACTAGCAAATTACTTTAAAGGAGAAGGACAAATACCCCTCTTACAACCTTTTATAAGTGGTTCACACTCTTACAAATTTTCAAAGAGAAAGAGGGAGGTAAACACTCAAGCTATTGAAAACAAAAACTTGCTAAAGGCATTGCTAAGACTTTTATCTCAATCTCTTGCTTCTCAAAGGTTGTATTCTCTGTTGAGAAATGATGGGTATTTATAGGCCCCAAGAGGATTCAAATTTGGGCTCCAAATTTTGAATTCTCTTGGGTTTTCGAGGCAGGTGGTGCCACCGCCTGTCAGTGTCTGACACTGACAGTGTACTGGCGGTGCCACCACCCAGTCCGGCGATGCCACTGCCGGACCTCTCAGGTGCTGGGCGGTGCCACTGCTCGGTTCTCGGGTTCTGGGTGGTGCCACCGCCTACACTATTTCAGCTCACTGGTTGGGCTCTAAACTTGGCCCAAACCAATCCGAACTCGAGCCCAATTGGCCCATACTTGGGTTATAGGATTAACACCTAATCCTAACCCTAATTAATGTGCTAACTACAAATTTAAAGATATTTTCTAAGCTATTACAAAGTCCGTAAGTCAATATTTCTTCCGATGAGCTTCCGACAAACTTCCGATGATCTTCCGATAAACTCTCGGAAACCATTCTGCGAACTCCCAACAAGATCCTAGACTTCACGATTCGATCTTGGTGAGTTCTGACGAGCTTCTTTGGTAAGCTCCGATCTTTCTCGGTGAGCTCCGCAAACTTCCCACGAACCTTCCAGCGAGCTTCCGAAAAACCCTTCGGCAAGCTCCCTACTCATTCTCGGCTAGTTCCGGCAGCATTCCCGACGAACCTTCGGACTTCCATCGAACTCTCGAACTCTCAACTAATCCTTCGCGCTTGACTCCGACACTTTGTTTTGCTTTATGTTTTCGTCGTTATCGTAGTTAATCCTGTACACACAAGCCAAAACTCTACTCCAATCTAGACAATTATTACAACGCGAATTGACATTCTATTGCCCGGCAACTCATTGGTTGGCGCTTCGTCCAAGTCTTCTGCCATCCAATATCCTGACGTGATCTCCTCCGGCGCAATGTCAATTCCTCCTACGTCAACTGTCTAATCCTGATCGAGTAGACCTGCATCACTCAAAATACAATTTAAATCATAAACACATATCAATTGGTTTCATCATCAAAATACGAGATTCAACACTTCTTCCAATTAATTTTATTTATTTATTTTAATTGACTGATTATATATATATATATATATATATATATATATATATATATATATATATATATATAACTAAAATAAAATTTGCATTATTGATTTCTATATTGGGTGTGAGTATAATGGTATTGAAACATCAATTAATATGTTTGGATAGAAGAAGTAAATTATTTGGTGAAAGTGATTATTGGATATTTTACATATTTAAATATTATAATATCTTTAAATTTTGTTGATAGTTACGGTTGGTAGTGATTTTCCTAAGTTTTATTTTAAAATATACATATAAAATCCAAATAAGCTATTCCAAAACTTTTAAAGGACCTTTTCTTTTTAGGTAAATCCTTGAAATAAAATCTATTATCTTTCTATTTCTAAAAATATAGATGAAGTTGATGAATTATTTATTATTATTATTATTATGAGGGCATAATATATTTTACAGAGCGATAATAAGTCGTTTTGGTTGTAACGAAGGGGTAAAACCGGTATTCCGAGTCGCCGTTACTGACTGGGAGCAAAGAAGAACGAACCTTTGATGCTGTTTTACCGAAACTGCCCCCATGCCGTCACAAACGCCGTCTGGGAAATGAAGAAGCTGTAGTGGAACATAATCGTCATTTCACAGATGGGGAAGTGTTTGGGTATTTTCGTAAAAATAGAGATAACGTCTATTATGACGCCGTTGGTTTGCCGTCGCAGGCGGCCCTGCGAAGCTCCACCCCGCCCCCGATGTCGAGAGCATAAAGAGATCGAGATCTGGCGCTTGTCTCTCTCCTCCTTCCCTCTCCGTGCGCGTCCCTCTGCTACCGATCTCCTCCTTCGGATCGCCCTGGTGCCCGATCCCGATTCTTGAGGGGGCGCATGGCGGAGCAGCTCACCGACGACCAGATCTCCGAGTTCAAGGAGGCCTTCAGCTTGTTCGACAAGGACGGCGATGGTTAGATCCTTTCCGTCTCCCACTCTGATCCTATCTTTTGCTCCATTTGCCTTTCGATTCGTTATCTCCTGCCTTCGGATCTTGTGGTGATTCTGCTCTTCTTTGGAGCAGGGTCTCGTTTGATCTTTGTTTGGCACGCATAGAAATCGATTATGATTCTTTCAGGGTTGTTTATGAGATTGTTAGGAATCTTCTCAACATTGAGACTCTAGAAAAATTTGAGATGGATTCATGTTGTTTTGTGAATATAACTTCTTAGCTCGAGATTTGTGTTCTTCTTTTTGGGGCCTAAAAGAAGTTCTTTCTTCTTTGAGGTCTGCTGTAGTAGTCAAGGTTAGATAGGTCTGCTGTGGTAGATGTTCGATACAATAGTGCTGAGAATGCCATGATTTGATGTTAGGATGAAGTTGTTGATATGGTCGCGTTCTCCATTACACAACATTGAACTTCTTAAGCTTTTTCATGACCGACATAGCAGCAATGCAAGCCAAGCAAAGTTTGAATACCTGATGAGGCCACATCAGTCTCACACTGGCCAGTAATCGAAGAGTGATGACCATTTGGGATGGATACCAAGGGACAAAACCGTGCGAGCTGTAGCCTAGAGAGAACCATACTTCATGAGCTCCCATGAGCAAGCTGATGACAAAATGTGCCATCTGCTTTCAGTTGGCATACCGTGCTGCGTTTGTTTTGGTGAAAGAGAAATTGATGCTAGAAATTAATAGTATTAATCTATTTCTGGTTATGTTTTGATGGTGTATTATCATTGGCATTATGGGACTCGGGGCTTGACATCTTTGGACCATAGTTATTAAACTAGAACCAGAGTGGCCGATCCTTTGGGAAAAAAATGGTAACCGGACCCACGCTTTACCCAAACCCTCTCTCTAGTAGTTCCGCGTTCTGTCTCTTTCTCCTCTATCCTTTTCTTCCTGACCTCTTTCATGCTTTCATCACCATCCTCTTTGTAGTTGCTCCCTTTCACTATCATTCTTTGTTCTTATTTTTGATCATCACATGTGCTATCGGCCTATTCTTCTGTCATCCAATTCATAGGAAATGAAATTTTATCTTTTGATCACCAAATTTCTGCAATTCATTCTATAACAAAGAGATTTAACAACTGTATTTTCGTTTTTATTATTTAACATTTTAATCATAAAAGTAGATCTATATACTAATAAGAGTATAATTTATTTTTAATATTGTTTATGAAACCTGCAATCCGATTGCTTGTCCCATTGGTCCAACTAGCGCACCATTGGCTCGAGGCTTGGAAAGGTCAATGTTCGTTGCTGGCCTCACAATAATACTATGGACTTCATTTTGGGCCATGAGTTTAATATGAATGTGATTGAAGAAGATGTCATGGTTTGGTTAATTGTCGATGTTAGATCATGCCTCATGTGCATCTAGACTTGATTTTCTCCGCTACTAAGAAAGGAGGGGAAAAAAAGAAAGAGATAGGATGTGAAGAACACTTCCATTCTTTTTACATTCTACACGTTGATCATAGAATGAATGCTAAATCCAATAGTCATTAACTAGTAGTGCCACCTGAGGCCATATATGGATTATTTTGATTTGCCATCGATCTCAACCTCCTGATGTAAAAGTGTTTAGGAGTTCACATTAGTTACGGAAGCTGGCTGAGGAGAAATTGTTAAATACTGTTGTCGATGAAGGTGGTAATAATGAGTCAGACAAAGCAGGAGAAAGTATTTTAGTTAAATGAGAATATATTTATTTATCTTAATCAGATGTGTACAATGCAGTTTGACAGTTGTATTGAGTTTTTTTCTTTCTTCTACCAGCAATCCATTGCGATTATGTTGCTTTGGGTATTATGAAGTTTGACTGTGTTTAATTTGTAGCCATTCTTTAAAGATTTTCATTAATCACTCAATTTAAAGATAAGACCTAATCACATTGGTTTCTTCTTTTTGGTATTTCAATAGGTTGTATCACTACTAAGGAGCTTGGGACTGTGATGCGCTCTCTGGGTCAGAACCCTACAGAAGCAGAGTTACAGGACATGATAAATGAGGTTGATGCAGATGGTAATGGGACGATCGACTTTCCTGAATTTCTCAATCTGATGGCCCGAAAGATGAAGGACACCGACTCAGAGGAAGAACTGAAGGAGGCCTTCCGAGTCTTCGACAAGGATCAGAATGGTTTCATATCTGCTGCTGAGTTGCGTCATGTCATGACCAACCTAGGTGAGAAACTGACGGACGAGGAAGTTGACGAGATGATCCGTGAAGCTGATGTTGATGGAGATGGTCAGATCAACTACGATGAGTTTGTCAAGGTCATGATGGCAAAATGAGTCCTCGAAATAAAATCTCATGATCGTCCCTGTCTGTTTTAATTTACAAACCCCATGGGTGGGTTTTGTTTGAATCCAACTATCCTGAACTTGGAAGATGATGAAATCATTTGCTTGATTAATTTAGTTTGCTTCTCCTGTGATCATGCCTCAAGATGAAGAACTATAGTATTTTCCATGCTTTTATGTTTCAAGTGTGGCCCTAAAGATTCCTTTCCCCTTGGTTGCTTGAACTAGGAATCGACGATTAATTTGTTTGCCTCTCCAATTTTTGGTGAATCAGTTCAGGATTTGTTTATCCATGGCAATGTGCAAACCCACATAGGTAATCCACAAGTGACAAATCTCACCTAAGCTCCAGTATTTTAGAACTAATAATTGTCCAACTCCATCATTCTAATCATTCATTTTGTGTTCTTATATCATGACAACTGTGTCAACAAATCCTTCCAACTCAAATATGTGTATGCTGCAAACAACACTGATGAGGCATATTCTTTGGTTTCCAATTGAATGATGATAAACAGTGTTAGGATGCAAAAACCTACTTTCTACTGCAATCTTTGTGGCAGCAACATGGGGAACAAATCAAAACATAGACAAGTCCACGTCATCCTCCCTAATGGGCATTGAGCTGCCAATTACAAAATTAAATGTGGTGTGTGTGATGAACAATCTGACCTTCTATTACAAGAATGAGAACGCAAACATTCCTTCACTCCGACTTAACCTTGTTTTCTTCAGCTTTTTGCACCTTGCTCTTTGGCTCGGTAAGCAATCCGAATGTCCAGACTGCTAATAAAGTTGCTTGAATGGGCGCAAACCAGTAAACAATTAGTTGATCCAACGTTATGTGATCTCCCCGAGCATATGCCCAAGCAAAGGCCTGCAGAACAGATGACATGTCGTAAGGAGTAGTAATCATGATCTAAAGAAAGCTTGGAACAAGAAAAAACAATGTAGGGAAAATGCAAATTTGCATCAAACTTTCCGAATCCATTACAACTAATGAAAATGAATCTGAAACCATGTCCAGGATCAACCATCTAACAGACCTGGATATCTGGGACTCACAACCAAACAGGACATTGATCGCGCACAAGAGATCAAGATGCTGCTCAAGACAAATTTAAATGCAAACGTGTAAATACATAGATCAGAAACCTTGATTGTTCTCTTCATATTTTGCATTTAATCATGAAAGAACTACAAAGAGTTATTGTCCTCCAGAAGTTACGATGTTTTCATTTCAATGGATTAGAACATGGGGCCAGAATTTCCTTTTATGAGAACAGCTCAAGATCTCATAACAACCACCCTTTGGAACTATGATTGATCTACCTTATGCCATGCACATATAACCACTTTCTGCGAATAATTATGCATAGTCATGTGCCAAGAGGCTTTAGAAAGCAAACTGAACTCATGCCGATTTGTGCTGGTTGACGTCAGAAAAAAACGGCAACATACGTTACATGCTAGCATACCCCAAGTGTCAGCATCTGCCATCTGAGACAATTATCTATGCCATATAATGCATCAATAAACTTGGTACATCAAGACATGCATCCTCAAGAGAAAAATAATGGATTAGAACATGGGGTCAGAATTTCCTTTTACGAGAACATCTCAAGATCTCATAACAACCACCCTTTAGAACTATGATCGATGTACTGTATTGTTACGGACGGTCGTTGCACACCCGCAACAACTCCGTTCAACGAACCGTTCGTCGCTCACATCCACATGTACAGCTTCTTGGCAGCATGTTTTGCCTCGGTTTGAGTCATTTTGCTTGTAAAATTGTAAGTTCGAACAAGTTGCAGCGTTACCAAGCGACCGCTCACCGAACCGAGCAAAACAGCCCCAAAACAGCTCCGTTTTCGTGTGTCACGGGCTGTTTTCTGCAATCCACCTCCGTTCACCAAAACGTCAGCCATCTCAGCCCTTTTGAACCCCCCGGGTGGCACAGGGCTGGATGGGGCTTCGGTATAGTGTCGGGCGTTAAACAACCTTTGGCAAGTTCGCACGTTACCTTGACGAGAACTTGTTGTTGCGCCCGGCACCCGGTGAGCAGTTGTTTGTAGACTTGCAACTGTTCGTTCAACCTTCTAAAGTCCTTGTTTTCCCCCTCTCCCTCTTTTCTCTTGTGCACGCAAGGTGCTTGCTGAATTGCTTGTAAAGCTTCCCCTTTTCGCGAGACGTCGGGACTTGTCCGTCGCTCGTTCTTTCGAACTAATAAACTTTCTCTTTTATAGGTCCTTCGGGACCTGCGAGAGGTTGCAAGTGGGCTGATCTTTGCGGAGCAATATCGCAAGGGCGAAGCACGACTTAGGCAACGCAAGCTAAGTTCGCATCTTTGCCGCAAGGGTGCCTCGCGACTTAGGCAACGCAAGCTAAGTTTGCGTCTTGGCCGCAAGGGTGCCTCACGCTTTAGGCAATTCCAGCTAAGGCCGTGACAGTATGCCATGCACATATAAACCACTTTCTGGGAATAATTATGCAGTCATGTGTCAAGAGGCTTTAGAAAGCAAACTGAACTCATGCCGGTTTGTGATGGTTGACGTCAGAACAAAACGGCAACATAAGTTACATGCTAGCATACCCCAAGTGCCAGCATCTGCCATCTGGGACAATTATCTATATGATATAATGCATCAATAGACTTAGTATATCAAGACGTGCATCCTCAAAAGAATAAAAAAAGAATGCATGACTAGAACAGTGAGAGATGATTAGATGAGATTTCACATGCATTTACTGGAGCTGTAAGTTAGCTATAAATAAAGAAGAGATATCAACCACACCATGTTATCCCATTAAAGATGCACCCCTTTTAACAATTTTAGGAGGTTTACATGTTGATCTATTATTTGAGAATGCTTGCTGTTAGCACAAAATTCTCAAATGGAATATTTAGCTCTATTATTCTACACTATTAAGTAAAATAATTGACTAAATAATTTATTAAGTTGAAAGAAAAGCACAAGCATCAAATTGTGATATAATTTTCTCTTCTTTTTTCTTTTCAGTTGAACACATATTGGATTCTGATTAGAGATTTTTCTTTTTGTGATATTGTTTAGTACTACATATCCGACATGTGTTTTCAGGCAAACGAAAGAGCTTATGTTTCGGAACAATTATCTAAAATCAATTGCACTACAAAATAATACAAAGCACTTACAGAGGCAGGGTTCATAATTCCTCCAGTTAAATCAGAACCAAGGACATTAAGTGCCAACTTGAAAATGCTTGAAATCCATGTTTTCATGAAGAAACTTCCAGGATCTTTTTTCTTTAGCATTAGTGAGGCCATCACGATCATAAACGTAAGGAACCCTTCTGTCCATGCCCCACGATGGATATCAATGCTCAAACGAGGTCCATGGCCTATCGAAGGAAAGGTTTGTTTGATGAATCTAACACCAGTTGCTGATCCTATCACCTGAACATGCCAAATTTAGGTCAAAAAATACAGTCGATGATTAAGTTGCAAAAGGCTGCTAACTAATCTAATATTAATAATTTAATATGCAAACTAACCTCGTATCAACCATTCTTTTGCTAGGACATGCAAAACTGAGAAAACTTACCAATAGATAAGTAAACCGCACTCATATGAGAAAGGATAGAGACGCACTACTAAATGTTTAGTAATAGATCGAACTTAAATATACAACTTAGAAAATCCAATATTTATTAAGCGCATTGTATTCTACAAAAATTAATATCATGCTGCATTGAAGAGGTTTGCATCTAGGGATAAAATTACTTGAAACATTTGTTCCATGATCTCAACAAAGCGAAGAAAAAGGAAACCCTAGCAAACAAGAATTCTGTCAATGCACAGTTCTAACGACAGACTTGGGAGGTCAATATTCCCTTAGAATCCAATAGAAACTCTTTACATATCTCACCAAATCAAGCAACAGATATCTTCAGGAGGGATACAGGGACACAAATTATTCACATATGACCTTAAAATTGTGAACTCAAATGTGGTCCATAAGTTTTGACTCTTGGCACTTCATAATTACATGCTCGAAAATAATGCTGGGATCTGGGAATTCTCAATTCGCCATTGATTTCACTCCTTTGAAGGCCGGAGCACATTGTAGATACCCTGAAGACATGCCTATGGGTTGTGTGCAGTCCCACAGCTGAGCATACTGATAAAACCATGCCATGCCATGACATGCACATGCATCACAGAATTGATTAAAAGATATGGTAATAAATTTTAATGCCTTTTCCTAATATTGACACAAATAGGAGTGTCTGTGCATTTATACCGATCTTTGGCAATGACTACTACACAGTTCACACAAATAACCAAAGTCCTGACAGGAAGATCAAACTAAAGAGTGACGGATCAAAAGTTCCCTATCTGTCACAGTTTGGTCGCAAATCAATCGAGCAACTACCTGATCGGATTCAACAAACAGAGCCAATCCCCATTCAACATCTATCGAATAAGCGGTATCACCGAATCAGGAAATCGACATGGCAGATCGACCAAAACGGAGCAGAATCCAAGCAAGCAAAGGAACTCACCTGCGCAGGGATCCTTCCCAGGGCTGTGAAAAGGAACCCCTCGGGACCACCGGAGAAGGCGTAGGAGAGCACGGTGAGAGGGTTGTAGGCGCCACCCCGCGTGACGTGGCCGAGCCACGCGAAGAGGAACATGTAGCCGACAACGAGGGCCATCTTGAGGGCCTCGCCGCCGGGGCGGTGGCCCAGGCCGAGGGCGTCGTAGACCAGGAGCTTGACGAGCGCGCCGGCCCACACCCACATGAACGACATAGCCGCGTCGCACATCACGAGCCCCAGCCGCCCCATCGATCGGCCCGTCCCCGCCTCCTCCCTCCTCCTCCTCCTCTTTCGGAGACAGGAATGATTTGTGGTGGGGGCGGGCGGCGGGCGGCGGGCGGAGGGCGTCTTCCTATTCCACCAATCGCCGCTTCAACTCGGAGCATCCATGTTGCCGCCGCTGCTCGACGTCAGACACGAACAGGGAAACCACCACGGCTTGGTTTTCTTCAACGCGTAAGACTCTGCGGTGGATCAAAGCCCCGTGGAATTCGGGCCCACACAACACCATCCGAGCCCCGCATCAATCCGGTCTTAATCCGACCCAATATTCCGTAACTAACACTCGAGTCGCATCCCAAGAATAGAGAGGAGAGGTTAGACCGGGTCAGATTGGGTCTTTGTGGGTTTGGATTAAGACATTTTAACCCTCCATCACTTAACTGTGCATGCATTTCGTTAGCTACCGAAAAATGATTTGATTTAATTAATGTTGATATAAGATGAGAAAAAAAATATTAAGGGAAAATAAAAAAAAATACAATGAAGAAATTGGGAGTTGGAATTGCAAACTTCACAAGTCTTTTAACGTCGATGATCGAACAATTTAATTTAATTTAACAATTTAATACTGTAGGTTTGAAATGACATAATGAGCCTATACATTTAGATATAGTATATAATAAATATAAATACAAAAATAGTTACAATATTTTTAGTATTCTTTATACATTTGTCATTTAGTATTGGAAATATCTATTCTGAGTCCTGCAAGTGTTTTTAGGTCTTTTGAGCAAACATATACTAAATTTAAATTTAGAGATCTGAACATGGAAATCACAGATTATTAAATTGAATTTGAGATACAAGGCTGTACATGCTGTTGTGCTTAGCATTCATTGCTAAATACGATTTACATTGATCAATAAGTATGCATATTTCATCAATCGGATAAGGTCACATTACACACGAATTAAACCATTATTACATGCCACAACTCTAATTACATTGAAGAGCTGTAGGATGCTGGTGGAGCAAGAAACAGATCGAATGCGTTGAGGGAATATGGGGTAATCACAACATCCATGTTACTCCCTGCATTTGGAAGCTTGCTGCTAACTGGAAACACCTATAATATTGAAATAACAAATAAGTGGAGAGGAATACCATTGGATTTAAAGAACAAAAGAAACAAATATATTTCACTGCAGCCAAAGATAATATTCGATATGTAGAACATATACGTTATAGCGTGCAAGTATAGGAACATGCATACGTATTTAGTATTCATTAGGCTGAAGAAAGCAGATATGATGCATATTTACATCCACATCAATCCAATGTTTTGAAGTGACTAGAACACTCTTCTCATAGTAAAGGTCTATCTATCTATGCATGGAAAAGTAGGCTCTAATAAATGTAAAATGCAATGAAGAGGGGTCAACTTCACCTTTTTTGGTTCCCTGAATGAATTCTCATCTGTCAATCCACCTGAGAGCACAGTCTTCTTAGATACACATGAGCAAACATCATTCTCTAGTCCAGTGACAGAGATCTTTAGATTCACAAGGTCACTGCCACAGTTGACTATCTGCATGCAGAACTTCTCTTGGTTAACGAAAGGAAGACCTTGAAATATATTACATCCATAGCAAACAGTCGGCTGAGCTCTTAACGTAAAAGGAAAAAAGATTGATTAGCCAACATAAGAAGAGGGAAAGATCACATCTAAATTCTCAAATGTCAGGAAATAGATAAAATATTACTTGAATCCATTGACTTGGCCATGTTACACTAAAGTAGCCAATAAAACAAATTGCCAAATGAATCAGAAACAGGGATCGAGAAAAGAACAATTACACATGTCTTTTATTAAAAAAAACTGGCTTAGAAAATGTCAAACTAGTTAGTTGTCCTCAAAAAATGACTTTGCAGGAGAATGCAGATCATGACAACATGGTGGCTTTTGCATTGCTGAAGCAATTGATGAGAAAAAAATTGCAAAAGTTCTACTTGAAAGGAAGAATGCATGAAAGAAAATTCAACAATTGACAAAGAAGAAAACTACCAGAAACCAGATCAACAATCAATTTGCCAGATTGGAAATGACAAAAAAAAAAAAAACATGTGATGTGGATTTTATGAAATGAAACCTTTATTTTAAGGTACTTGTTGCCATCTTCAGATTTCTGCCAAGTAATTGCAGATGCCATCAACGATTTGGTGGAACTAGCTTGTAAGACAGAAGGATGAATAGTTGAACCACTTGATTCCTTGAAGAAGTGCTGCATCCAGTAGCTCGGTGTTCCATATTGCTGCCACGAGTTAAAGACAATTGCATCTGGACTCCACCTTGACTCAAAGAAAAGTTCTATATCAGATTAAATTTTTTTTTGCAAAGTAGTATTCTGATCAAAGAGGAATAGTAAGGTCATGCTGCATTGAATGGTCCTCTGTTTTTATACTGCCATAGTTGAGAACAGGTTCTCCATCAGGAAAAGGAAACCATCATATCTCAAAACCATACCAATTAGACAAGATGTGAAGACTCAGCTGAAAGAGTTACCTTCGATCATTGTCATTGACAAAAAGTGGTGCATTGCTTGCCATCTCAACAATGTCACTGCACAGAAACCAAAAATAGCAATCAGCAGCAGCACAAAATACATAAGATGAAAAACTCAGCCAACAAATTTAACCATAAGGTTTGGCTTTTTCTGAGACAGTATATCCAAATTTAAGATGTCCAACTGATCTGAGTCAATGCTGCAATTCCAATAAAAATTGTTCCTACAAATGGCTAAAAGAATCTGTGATATACTAGTTTAGTCTTAAGTAGTTTTGGAAGTATCCAAGGCAGAAACTTGTCTGATTACTCTGATCAAAATCTTGATGGAAATTAAATTAACTTTTATCTTTAGTTTATGCATCATAAGACTAAGTAGTTTTAATACATCAAAATGTTGGACAACTAGAACAAAATAGAGTGTTAATTAGAAAACAATTTAGCAAGAAGATCTTACATCTATGAACAATTAATGGTTGCATAAATCAAGAGTAAAACAAAAGGGAACTGCTTATAGGTGGTTTTGATGTATCCAATGAAGACCTATAAAAGCATTGGTCATCAAGGTGAGGATACTTAGATTAATGATATCAGAAGACGTTGAAGAATTCTAAGAAGACTTCACCAAAAGTATTAGCAAAGAATTTGATAACACTTAATTTCAGTAGTGATATTGATCCTGAGTGGTGAAAAAGGATCCATTTAATTGACCCAATCAGTAGTAAAGCCCATGAAAACTTGAAGGGTGAAATAACTATAAGTTGTTATAAACAAAATGTCTTGATTCATATAGGTCTTTTTTAGACAAGCAAGCCACGATAAGGGACGGATGATCCTTACACCAAGATATGATTCATATGCTTCGTGCTTGCCAGCAAAAAGAAATTTCAGAGTATTGATATGCTTATAAAATACGGAAATAAGAAAAAAAAAAAACCTGTTTCTCTCCAACCCAATAAGAAAACCAGCTTGAGCCAGAGCTGCTAAAAAGCTACCTTTGCCAGCATCTTTTCCAGTCACAGCATACTCACTAACAAAGGCCTGGAAAAGGATCATCATGATTTATTTCTCAGAGACAGCAAAAACTTTTATTGAGCAAGGCTCCACTTTCAATTCTTAAGTTAGCATATAAAGTAGCAATTTATTCATACCTTGGGGCCACTACGTGATGTGCGATCAAATTGGTGAGCCATGGAAAACATGTTGTTCGCAGATGTATAAACCTATTAAAGAAGTGTTACAGTGGCACTTTGCTCTTACTGACACAAAGCAGATATAACTACCGCAAATAAATAATGCTATAGACAAATTATAAGGGATCTTACATGAAAGTCAAATAGATCAGCAGGATGATCTAAAGGGCCAGAAGACCCATCACAGTTTGATATAACTTGAATATCCGGATAGGCATCTTTAATGGCGGAATAGAACTTCAAGTAATTTCCTGTCCAATGACAAGTCAGCATATTCCTAATATATTGACATGATATCCTTTGTTCCAACATTTCTCTTTGGAAAGCAAAGCTAAAATGATATTTGATACTGTATGTATTTCCTTAATTTTGGCAACAAAAGAATCTGGGTTACTCTTCTAGAAGTTGTCAAGAAATTAAAAGGAAAAAGATCTTCTAAGAAAAATATAACAGATCAACAAGCTCAAAGAAAGGATTACCAAATAGTGCAAACTTCGACACATACATGAGCCAAAAAAGAGTCAAACGGCCCTTACAACTGCACTTAATCTGTGAATAGCTGTATTTTAGTTTATTACATGTATGGGTAAGTTTTGTTTCACATACTGAAGCAAAGTTAACAATCTTGGGGTTCCTAGAATTGCATATCTATAGTAGCCAATAATATGAACAATTTCTATCCTGACTGACTTGAGAAGAAGACATCCTTGCAGTATAATTAAGAGAATAATAAAATGGCCACATCCTTTCTCTTCCCTAAAACAAGTACTTGTAGCAGTGTTGCCATTGTACATAATCCACTCTAAGGTGTGTCAAAGATGAAGCAAATTTACCTTTATAGTTTCTCTTAGAACAATCCTGATTCCCAAGGGCAACATAGTACAGTTGAAAGGGTTCCGGATGTCCCATTGATGCTCGAATAGAGCCCCATTTAGATCCAGAATCACCTCTAGCAAACTCAATAGCATCAAGCGTATCCTGTTTTATAATCAGCAGATAGTAACAAAAATTTACTCTTGGTGCCATGATCTAGCTCATTATGGTTTTTGATGTAGGTTCAGATAAAAAGAGCATAAGGGCACCAGCTCAAACAATGAGAACATAAGATTTGATACAATATAGAGACACATAAGTTGATTTTGTTATAAATATAATGAATAAAGAGGAAGACAAAGTATCCTGTGAGCTCAGGAATGTGATGGCTGTTACACGTTCAAGAGGTCAACTCAAGAAACATGCAAAGCAACATATAGATCATGCCAAAAATGTCCCAACATAATGGCCACCATGTTAACATTGGCAATATTCTCCCAACCCGCTGTCAGGAAATCCACAAAATATATAACCGTGATCTCAAATACCCAAAGGATCCAGGATGATTAAATTGAACTCTAACAAATGATCCTATTATAATGGAACTCTCATGTAACAAAAGTAATATATATGAATGATGGAAAAAATCACAAGTCTCTAACATTCAAATTAAAGTCCAAAGTTTAAGTTTTCAGAAAAAATAAAGTATTTTCTTGGTAGATATGATAATTATGATAGAAAAGAAAGATAACCAATGATGCACTTAAAAATTGAATGTTTCTGTGTAACAGTGACAAGAATATATGGAGGAAAATTGAATTTTGGACATGCCTTTACAAAAGCTGATATGCTTGAGGGATTAACTTGGTCGTTGTGGCTTATTCCTGTCAAAGAAATATGTAATAAACAGATAATTTAGAAGTGATAATCCATTAAAATATAGCTCATTTGACAGCACATGACAAGTACCAGTATTGACCACCCACAGTGGGAGAGCACCAATGTCTTCTGCTAGCTGCAGTAAGTCAGCATCAATATGCAAAGCTTATGGAGGAGTTAATAGCTATTAAGTATCTAAAGAATGCATTAAATATAGTCTGTAATCAGAAGACCTACTTGAAGGAACTCATAAAATCCAAGTCCATCATCAGTCCAATACTTCCAAACATCATTGAAATGCCCAGGTCTCTCTTCCCAAGGACCAATGGTTTCTCTCCATCGAAATGCATTCATTAACCATTCTCCTTCAACATAAGAGCCACCTAGAACAATAGAAAAAAGCAAAGAAGCAGGTGCATTTATCAGTTCACAACTATGTCAACCTCATTATCACTTATGCACAGGAGATAAGATGCAGCTAAATAGAGTATGTCATAGATTATATGGTGTATACATCAGAGAAGCATATTAAGATAATAATGTTACACTGCTACTAACTCACAAGTACACTTCTGATGTCACCATATTGTATCATTGCTCATTTCTTTGAAATGCAAAAGCTTTTGTTTGAACATGTGAACTACATAAAATGTAATGCCATGAAAGATTAGGTTTAATGAGCTGTATGTACAGTAATAGTCATGTCCGGTAACAGAGTGTTACTGACCAAAAACCAATGTTCAACTTGTTTCAACTGAAACACCTGTGTTTCAGCTGTTTTTCACTACTGCAAGACAGCAGAGAACGCCAAAGATGAAAAACAGAATTCTTTCACAAAATTATTTTATAAAACAATATTTTATGCAAAGAAAAAGATTATGTAAATTTACATGCATGCAAATTTATCTAAAATATAATTTCATAGAAAAAAAAATGTTAAAAATAAATTATATGTTTCTAAATAAACTTTCATTAAACATTGTCTTTAATCTCCTCATCAAGTCTAAATACAAAATAGTCCAATCTAACCATTCTGTTGTTCTTTCCAAATTTGAAGACTTTGTTTTGAAGAAGACCTGATATAACCTGAGTAAACTGACTGATTCTCTCCTTTCAAGCATGAAAACATAATGCTACAGATTGGGTGAAAAGGCAAAACAAGGTCGACCATCTACTACTCTGCTATGCTATAGTTTATATATATAAGAGGGCTATTTGAGCACAGCTCAAGAGTCAGATGACATAGGGCTTGAATTTCCAAATCTGTTCATGCAGGATTACTACTAAACCAAGTGAAGCCTAAAACTCCTGGCTAACTGATGATAAGTGAATTTTATAACTGAGCATAAAAACAGAATTATCTCGGCTTCTTGTCCAAATGACTGCCATTAACAAGTGGAGAACAAGTTAGTAGAAGAATGAATAATATACAGCACTGACTATGGGATGAGCAATCACATTGCTATATTATTTTGATAATAAGATTGACCAAATTATGAAAAAACATTGGAAAGTTATGAAATCAACTTCTAAACTTGGTACTTAACCACCTTTCCTAATCACAAAACAGAGGCAAGTTCCACATGCAATTGTTTTTTATATTACTTATGCATAATGAAAATTAGGGCACCTTTCATTTCATGATTTGCAACATATATTGGCAACTGCAGTTTTGTGTTCCAAATAATCATAGTGTATTGCCTGATTCAAATGGTCAAAGTAACTTTAGTTTAATGTTATTTAAAACATTTAACATTTTTGCAGCCTCAGTTTTTACTTATGGATTTGGAATTTTGAACAGATATTATCAATAGCATTTCGGCTTCCATATTGCGACTATTGATTCCCATGCAATGGTCCTTCTCTTGCTGTCATCTAATATAATGGAAGACACTAACAAGGAAAACCAAGAGCAAACCTGGAAATCTGAGGAATCGAGGTTTCAGATCTGCTAGCATCGAAGCAAGCTCCATCCTGAAACCATGCCCCTGCAGTACATTAACCCACTGAATAATGATTTGAAATAAAAAACAAATGTGTCCAATGTCACTCTTCAGTGTTCTGCACTTGATAATATTCCATGCATCTCAGAAGGAAAAAGATAACTAGTTCAAGACACATGGTAAACTCCACAATTGCCTAAAAGAAAGATGAAACAGAAAAGTTCAAAAGGAATATACAACCATTATGTCAGAGAACCAAAGTAAAATGCACACATATCAGCAAGGCTTTCCAAGATAAAATGATTTTTCAGAATATATCATCCGAGAAAAATTGTTGAGTTGCTTAAGAGCATGGAATCATGAACTTCCTATTTCATATTTACATTTATTACCAAGATTCTACAATTTAGAAGAGTTGTGCATGCTACATACCATGTCATCTATGAAGCAACCTTTAAAGAGAAAAACTGTAATGCCATTTTTTTTTCAGATATCCATAGACAAATGTAATATGCCTGCTTTGTATAATTGGAGCTTGATAATCTAAAAGGTAGAGAATTATTCACTCTATAGCCAAGACATATGGAACTTTTCCTATGACCAGGAAAAACATAATATGTTCTGCATCATCATGGTAAATAAAATGCCAGTATTTATTCAGTTCCTAATTCAATTTAAGTACCCAAAAATGCTTTCGAAAAAACAACACAAGAAGCTTTATGCCATCAAAATATCACATGGTTTTCTCAAACTAAAATAAAATCTTTGTAAAAACATATTGATTTATAATTTTCTCATAAACAATAATATGTCTAGGCAAACAAATGTGTCAGTAGAAGCTGTAGAAAGAATATAGATTTCACTGCCCACATGAATGCTTAGCTGTTTCAGCAAATATGTCAAAGAATATAGACCTTTGAAAAAAAAAGGAATATGTACCTTATATGTGTCCAAGGGCATCACAGAAACTTGATCCAACCATATCACACCTTTTGTAGTGGTTGTCAGTTGAAATCTTGCATTTACATTTGTTCCACTAGATTCAACCTGAAGCTCAACCTTGGTCCAGTCTGTCTTCTCTAAAGTATCAGATCTAAAAGAAAATTTCAAATTGTAGCACAAACATTACAAGCAGATTTGCCTATTCACCACAAACAATTCAACTTGTGAAACTTAACAAAACAGGCTCACTCAATTGTAGCAGTAGCCAGGTTTAGCGAGCCATCTGAACTTGTCAGTGAAAGATATAAGGTCATCGACTCCGAAGTCCTCACATGAAGGGCAATCTTATAGGCCTTCCCTTGCTGAATATTCTGTATCGCAACAGTAATAAAAGAAAAGTATATATTACAGTAATTTACTATATCCAAAGTGTTTTTGTCTATCTGCTTTTGCTAAATTTGAAGGTACATATATAGAAAGAATTATAACACTAGTCAAATTTGAGTATTTAAAATAATATAAGAGACCTAGTGCTGCAATGTCTTCATGATCTTAAACTAATAAGATATACGATTATACAAGATAAATTGAATATCATATTATATATTAACGAATGTCTCACCATGCCCCAGAAACCAGGGTTGTATACACCAACACCTCCTGCTGGACAAATATTGGATCCGTTATTGTCACATAGTACTTCCATTCGAAGTGCAACCTTATTGCGGCTGAAACAAGATGTTCGATCAGTTGATACAATAATGTTTGTTTCATTCCCGATTATGGACCATGGATATATGTTCGAAGGAGTATTGGGACCTCCATCTTCAAAACCTGGAAATGAGTTTGATTTGGGCTTCAACAACATGGGACATAATGATAAACAAACCAAGTTAAACTATACCTAACATGTGTGTACATTTGCTACTCCAAAATATATATAGTCTCAATAACCACTAGCCCAAAGATCATTTCTTCATAAACCGATTCAGCCAAATTCACAAAACATGTATATTTGGAGCATATAATCAAATAGGATACAGACTAAGAAGAACATAAAGATGGTACAGTCCTTGCAATAGACATATGACAAGTGTCATTGGGAATTGTGACTTTACTCGTGACAACCAAGCAGATCTAAGCAATAGAAGAAGAATTGAGGTGATCGATGATTCAGTTCAATCATTCTCCCTAGAAGAATACCTACCAGTTTGATTCATTTGTTAATGTCTGTGCATGGGATGCATATTTAAACTGGTACATGTAACTATTGGTGAAGGACAGTGCTACATATCATGACTCAGTACCTGACTCAAGGCATGAGTTGCTAACATGCACACATCTAAGGGCACCACCCATGGCCCCATTCCTATTTGCCCTATTGATGAGTGCCAGGCTGCTGTTTGTGCCTTATGTCGGGCACTTAACCATGTGAGAAGCATTTTTTAATATTACAAATAAACTCTGGAAAAATCAATATATCAAAAAAATCATTTTTTATTCAAAGAAACTTGGACATGACCTAAAGTTCTTTTTGTAGATTGTCCATAACTCACAGATAAATATACAGCAAAGAACCAGCCTGACTTCTATCTGTCATTAATTATGCTGCATCCAATCAGAAAAAGCAGAAAGTATTCTAGGTTCCAATTAAAAATTTTAATTAATGAATGAAATGGATGTTCATATATTTGGCAACTTCCTCACATCACACAACCATTTTCAGTTCACAGAGGCCTGATTTCATTAATTGATTAATCATATGCCACACTATTTATAGTTTTATTTATGTTAGTTATGCAAAATGAACATCTTAGTGTGTTCTTCTATATTCTTCCACCGGAGGATGTAAACAAATTCAACAAGAACATGCAGAACCCGGCCACCTCCTCACCCCGTAAATGTAAAAATGACCATGGATGCAAAGACCAAGAACTTACAGAGGACAAAGATTTGGATGTTTAAGTTTAACTCACATACGATAATCCACCCATCTGGGTTCAAAAGTAGAGAATAATTAACTTCCACAATCAATATCATATAACAAGTTTTTGTCAAAAACTATTGCACTCTTTACAAACTTATCTATTAAAATATTTAGTGTCCAAGTGGAAATAAGCAGACATTTTCTTCAGCTTCTGTCAATCTTTGCTTACTAGGAGAAAAGATAAGTGCCAATAAAATATTGGATCAAACTACATTCATGGCAGAGTTCAGTGGTTATAACACCACTAATTTAGTGTCAGTTTAATTATGACAAAGTAGCAACTACAGATGTTAATGACCACAATACAATATTTCAAATCGTCAGCTCACCTCTATTACTTATAAGCTCCGCCCATAGTCCACCTGCTCCAGCATGGTTGATCTCCTAGAAATGGTATTACAAATTTATAAATAATCATAACTCAATGGCCAAAGCTTTAAACTACAACTCATAAAACTAAATAGCAATTTCCTAAAAGCAAAATATCTGAGGCTATTTAACTCGATGAGATAGAATATGGTAAAGAAATCATCATTACTGAATATACACCATTTCAAAAGAAATCCTACAGGACAGTAAAACTAACGAGGACCAATGTAAATATTAAAAATAATGGATAGAATTAGACGCAATAAGCCATCGGTTCAAGTAAATGAATCATGACACCCTAGACAAGAAAGAATCATTTAAGCTGAAAAACTTGCAATGAATGAATGGAACATTACATATGTAATATAAACCTAAACTTTCTTACTACTGGTAGAGCATTAGCTATGCATATGTTTGAAGTCAGTGTATCAACTCTGCAACATGGCCGATTCTACCACTCCGAATGCAATACAGAAGGAAATAATTTTCTTTCAATCCCACAGATGAAAATGAAGCATTGGCCGAAACAAAAAAGGACAAGCGCACACAATTCACCTCGAAGAAGACGCCGAACATGTTCTGGGGCATCATCCGTCCCATTCCCGGTGAAGCATCAACGAGCAACGTCGCCGTCTGGTTAGCTTTGATCCCGGAAGCAGAACACCAACATGAAATCGACACCAAAACCAGAGCGCATAGCGTGCCTCGGAGACCCATTCTCGCTGCTGCCAATTACAAGAAACGAACGATTAAACCGAACGAACGCCTTGGAATCAAATAATCGATGAAAGAGTACATCACTTTCTATATTTGGAAGAAGGAAAACCTAAAAGATTACCGGAATTCCGATCAAGGAATCCGAAAGGAGTTGGAAGTGGTTGAGTGGATGTGATACTGAGGGAAGAAGACGAGAGGGCGCCCGCGATTAATATCGTTTACCCGACCCAGTTGAGAACCGTCAGATCAGGATCCGACGGATGCCGAAAGCTCCGGCATGCGAAGCTCCTTAAGCTTCCTTGCCGTCGCTTGGACGCACGGTTTTCCTGAGCCCATCGGAACCGTGCATCATCTGGGCCCGCAAAAGGAACGGCTGGGATTGAACACAATCAGTTTGGATATTGTTCGTAAAGAGACGACAATGATTAAGACGACGACAGATTTAATTGGCTGTCGCGTGGTGCATAAGTTCGTCTACGTTGGAAGGGATTAGCTGCAAGATGCGTTTGATCGAACGAGATACTATTCTCTCCTCGACCCCACACGTGTCCACGCTCGACTTGCGCGTTGCACGCGGACGCGGTCGATGTGGAGCTTTTAAGCTTGCCTTGCACTCAGCAGATCATAGCCAGTGATCCGAGTTGGTGATAAGTCACCGGATTTTGGTTATAATAAACATAAGTTCTCTTACAAGTCAATCCTGCAAATACTTATCACTTAGCGTATAAATCTTTCGCTTCAGTCAGAATTCTCATTGATAACGTTGATTGGTGTCATCAAATGTACTAATTTATCCTCAAATGGTCAAAATAAATGGGGTAAATGATCCGATCCATACACCAAGTGCCGATTCATTATTGAGTTGATTGAATATTTCATGGTGATGTCACCTGTTGCCTGTAGCAACATCAGCATGAGATGCGTTGGAGCCCACGGGATGGGCGATTCATGGTACGATGACATCAGAAGCTTATCCGTTGTCGAGTTGGGAAAGAATAAAGTGCTGGGGGAGAAGACCCCGATGACAAAATAAAAATTTAGAATTAAAAAAAAAAATCTTTTTACTTGATACTCTTATCAATTTTATTAAGAAAATAATTATTATATAAAAGATAACAATAATAATTAATCATGCCAATGTCATCATTAGATGGGGCCCAATGACTATATATATTCTAGAATGATTTAACTTATTTATCAAGTTTTAGGAGAAAATATCATTGATATCTTGGTCAGTCCAACGTGGTCCGGATCCATGTGCATAGGATTATTTGAAGTGTCTTCGAGATGGATCCAAGGTAGCTTCGAGGTGGCTCGGAGATGCAGATGTCGAACTCTCGATGTGGAAGTATTATGCTCTCAAGGTGAAAGAATTATGCTCCCAAAGTGCCACATGCATGAAGACTAGGGTCCGAGGAGATTTTTTGACCTGGTCTCTTCGATGCTCAAGTTAATAATATGTTATCTCTAAATATGAGTTTGAGTAGTTTGAGAAAAAAAGAGAGTCCTTCCTCTATTTTTTTTATTTTAGATGTGTTTTTATACCTTAAAGGAAGGGAAGAAAGTTGGTGATATCCTTCTCCTTATCATAAAGAAAGAGAATGAAGCTTAGAAATGTCTTTCTTATCATAAAGGAAGAATAACGTTTGTGATTACCTTCCTTACCATTACTGAATGAGAAGAAAACTTGTATTTCTCTATTTTGAATCTTTGTACACTTAGGTGGATAGAAAATGACTTGGATGACATGTCATCCAGCATGGGAGCATTTGAAATCTCATCTTGCAGGTCAAGTTCTCCTGAATTAGATGTCTCAAGTACATTAGACCTTGTATCCCCGTCGTAGCGAAATTATTTATAGCTCGGGTTGAGTTTTCGCGACTCATGCATCTTAGGCGCATTTGGCTTTGCACCTTCGCCATAACGAATATATTTTAGCATGAGTCAGATTTTTCTGACTCAAACGTCTTGGGCGCATTTGAACTTATACCTCCGTCATAACAGATTTATCTTGGCATGGGTCGGACTTTCTCGACTCACACATCTTAGGCACATTTGGCCTTATGCCTCCGTCGTATCTAATTTATCTTAATGTAAGTCAGGTTTCTCAACTCACACATTTTGGGCTCATTTGACCTTGCGCCTCCATTGTAGTAGATTTATCTTAGTATGGGTCATATTCCCGACTCAATATCTTGGGCGCATTTGGCCTTGTTTATTTTAGCATGGGTTAGGTTTTCTCGACTTACGTGTTTTTATGTGCATTTAGTTTTACGCCTCTATTATAATATATTTATCTTAGTGGGTTAGGTTTTCTCGACTAACACGTTTTAAGTATAGTTGAGGGTGATGGGACCTTGTGAGCTCTCCCACATAATGTGGTTCGCGAGGGCATCAATTAGGGTGGGTTTGCTGGAGCCATTTGTCCCAACACCGTGAAGATCTCCCCTTCTTCCACCTCGCCAAAGATGGAATTCAACAGTATCTCGATCCTAGATATCACCTATGGCGGCCTAAGACCGATGGCGAGGCCATTCTTGCATAAGAGTGATAGCTTCCGATGGTTCTTCACGTCGTACAAATGATCAATGGAGACGAGGACAAAGGGGACGGAGGTAGAAGACCAAGTAGTTGCCAACATCACCTCTAGGGCTGAAGTCATTAATCTCGAGGACATGGTGCTCCGAGAAGGCATAGTTATCGCTATGAGCATCGTTGAGGTACTTGAAGAGCTAGCCAAGGGTAATGGACTTACTGTCGTTGTCACCTATAGAGTCCTAGTTTGGTGTTAGCTCAGGAGTTGTGATGAAGAGTTGGCCTCTTGGCATTAAACTGGGGGCTATGGTGGCCAAGTAGGTCATCACAATCGATGTCCTCGGCCAACCATCAGGGAGGATCATCGATCGAACAAGAATAACTTATCCATAAATCGAGGCATGGTATCGCTTCGCTATCTCTTTTTATCTTGTTAGAGTCTCCTGTTGGGCTAATTGTAGCAAGAGCAAAATAACAGCTTACATAATACCCATCAACGTTTGCACCTACTATGTGAGGTTTAAGAATACCTTAACAAAAATGATCAGGTAGCTCGAGTTCGTCCCTAGGGGTGAGGGCCTTGGGTCATTGAACAAATGTTGATGCTTTGTCAACATTTGTGCCGAGGTAGACATATCCACACATGGGAAGAATAACAATTACTCCTTAAGTAAAAGTACTATGGGTAGGAGGTGACGCCTTCTCACTAGTGTTCATTGAGAGTGTTGGTAGGCGAACGTTCTTGCAACATCAGGCCCTCATTCTAGCGCCAAACTGTTAGGAAAAAAATATCATTGATGTTTTGCTCAACCCGACGTGATCCAGGCTCGTGTGCATAGGATTGTCCGAAGTATCTTCGAGGTTGTTCGGAAGTAGCTATGAGGTGGAGGTGTCGAACTCCCGAGGTGGAAGTATTGTGCTCCTGAGATAGTACATGCATGAAGACCAAGGTTGAGGAAGGTTTCTTGACATAGTTTCTCTGATGCTCAAGTTAGTAATCCGATATCCCTGACCTAGTAGTTTGAGAAACGAGAGAGTCATTCTTCGATTTTCCTATTTAGGATGTATTTTTATACCTTAAAGGAGGGGAAAAAAGTTTATGATGTTCTTCCTTATCATAAAGGAAGAAAATAAAGATTAAAATTATTTTTTTTATTATAAAAAAAGAGATAAAAGTTTGTGATTGTTTTCTTTACCATAATAAAAAAGAAAGACTCTTGTGTTTCTCTACTTGAAATCTTGGTAAGGAAGACGATGGATGGAAAATAACTTAGATGACATGTGACAACTACGGGACAACTACCAATAGATTCTCCATCACCAAGTAAATTACACCATGCATAAACCACCACTCTAAAATCCATCTTAAAGAATTATAGATTATTTTTAATATATAACCCTCGTATATTACCAAAAAAAAAAAATCAATGAATGATAAATTTTTCTTTAGATATGCATACCATGCAATGGTAACAAATAACATCATCATATTTATGCAATCATGCATCATTATGCACATATATCATCAATGACATTTGGATGCTTGAGATGCACTATCTCAATGTAGGTGTCTTACTCATCGAGGTAATCCAACTCTCCCAATAACTGATAAGAGAAATCATGTCGATAATTAATAGAATGATGTCTCAATCACCACGATGACGATACCTCTCCCCTATCATGAGCAAGATACCTCCCCCCTAATCCCTTAGGTCTCATAAGCACCCAAAGGAATCCCTACCTGTTAGGGGTCGTGCACAACCTTTAATCACTACCCAAATAGTATTCATTTGCTTGATTTATAATATTAGGTTGAAAAGAGAGACTATTTAATCTTAACTTAATTTATTGTGGTATAACATATATATATATATATATATATATATATATATATATATATATATATATATATATATATATATATATATATATATATATATATATATATATATATATATATGATGGGAACTTCGTTCGAACCCACTGCCGAATCCGACCCGACTTGTGTCGGACTCGAATTAGGCGACATATTAGCTCAATGGGTCAGGTCGGGCTCACTTAAAGTGTCTCAACCCGGATCCAATCAATTCGTGTCTTTCTCAACACGATCGAATGATGGGTCTGATGCGGACGGCCTGCTTGCTTTGCTCCACAGAACAAACCGACATATCGGCCGAAAGCGGAGACGCACGTTATGGCGGAGAAATGGGGGAAAAAGATGACGGCAGGCGGGCATCGAAAAGCGAGCGGGAGAAGAAAAGCGTGCCCAGTGCGTGAAATATTCGCTACCGACGGTTGCTTTCTCCAGGAATCGGAACCCTAGAACTTCGATTCAGGTATCCATCCTCCTTTTTCATCCTCAAACTCGCCGTCTTTGTGTTTGTTCCTGAGAGTACTGAATCTTTCTTTGAATCTCCGAATCTGTGAAACCCTCTCCGGAAGCTTGATCTTTTTCTTGTCGCTTTTGTGGAAGTCTGAGTTTTGGCGATCTTTATGATGCATTTGTGCAGTGTTCCTCGTGTTTTTGACACGATAAAGCTTTTCTTTGCCCTCCGGTAGTCCGTTAGGGTTTGTTTTAGTCTAATCTAAAGCTCATTCCATTGACACTGTTCGTTCTCCACTGTCAAAATCGTTGCTTTCCCCACATTCAAGTTTGAATTTTAGGTTTGTTCGCGAAGTTGCGCGCCAGCCGTCCATTTTCTTTGACTTTTTCGGTGAAGGGTTTGTTCTAATAACGCGGACATTAGGTTCTCTCGGCGTGGGAGATCAAGGGACTAGGGTTTTCTTATCTTCAGAACTGATACTTTCGTAGTGTTCTGCAAATGGAAGAGCGATCAAACTGTGCACCTCATTCTTGGAGCGAATCGGTCGTCTTGGATGTGAAGCCTTTGCGATCTTTGGCTCCCATGTATCCTGCCCCGCTTGGGCAGAAGAACACATTCTCCCCTCCCAATGCCCCTCCCTTTGTTAGTGTCACAACACCTTTTGGTTCCTTCACAACGGAGTCTGCGTTTCCTCCGGGCTTTTGTCCGCTTTTCCCATCTTTTGCTGCTTCTCATGACGTTAACCAGAAACCAGTGGATGTTAATTTTGTCAACAATGCAAATGGGTTTGCCCGTGCCTCGGAAGGTCCGGACATTAATGGTTCTCTGCACAACGCTTCACCATCTCCTTCCTTTCAGACGCCCCCTGCAGCCATCGTATCTTTTAACAAGGAGGAGCCGCTGGCTAGTGGTGCCTCCCCACCATATGGCAGAACAATAAAGCGGTCCCCTTGCTCTAACAGCATTCACATTGGCAATTCAGAGACAGAGGGTAGTAACAAGAAAAGGATCAAAACTCGACGACCTAAAGCTACTGGCGGTGATTTATCACTGCTACCCTCTTCTTCACATGATCCTAGGGAGCCGGTGGAGGTTGTCCTTATGACATTTGATGCACTTCGCCGGAGGCTTATGCAATTAGATGAGTCGAAAAGGCTACGCCCAGACCTGAAAGCTGGGACCATAATGATGTCCAGTGATCTCCGAGCCAATATGGTAAAGCGGATAGGGCAGGTACCCGGTGTTGCGGTCGGAGATATTTTCTACTTTAGGATCGAGATGTGTTTGGTAGGATTGCATAGTCAGAGTGTTGCTGGAATTGATTACATGACAGCCAGGTTTGGCAATGAAGAAGACCCTGTGGCTCTTGGTGTTGTCTCCGCTGGTGTTTATGATAATGAGGAGGATAATGTGGATGTTCTGATTTACAGTGGTCAGGGAAGTTCTAGCAAGGATGACCAGAAGCTTGAAAGGGGTAATCTTGCTTTAGAAAAAAGCTTGCATAGGGCTAATGAGATTAGGGTCATTCGTAGTGCAAAGGATCCTTTTGTACTTAATGGTAAAATTTACGTCTATGATGGCCTCTATAAGATTCATGAGTCATGGGTGGAAAAAGGAAAGTCAGGCTTTAACACTTTCAAGTACAAGTTTCTGCGAGAGCCAGGGCAGCCTGATGGGATTGCAGTATGGAAAATGATTGAGAAATGGAAACAGAATCCATCATCTAGAGCGAATGTAATTTTGCCCGACATATCTTCAGGTATTGAAAATATGCCTGTTTGTCTTGTCAATGACGTGGATGATGAGAAGGGACCTAGGTATTTTGCCTATTCCACTACTGTTAGTTATTCAAAACCTATTACTTCATCGAGACCTTTGCATTCTTGCATGTGCAATAGTGTCTGTATGCCAGGTGATTCTAATTGCTCTTGTCTCCACCAGAATGGTGGCTTTCTTCCTTACAGTTCAAATGGGATCCTTATCAGCTGTAAGCCTCTTATATATGAATGCTCTGTTTCCTGCCAGTGCCCTACAAACTGCCGAAACCGAGTTACGCAGAGAGGTGTTCAAGTCCACTTTGAGGTTTTTAGGACAAGGGACCGTGGATGGGGCCTCCGTTGTTGGGATGCTATTCGTGCTGGGACTTTCATCTGCGAATATGTAGGTGAAGTCACTGAGAGCATCCAAGGAGTTGAATATGATGAAGAAAATGACCATATCTTTCAGCCAAGACATGCTGACCAGGGTTTTAAGTGGAATTATGTGCCTGAGTTGTTGGGAGAACCTAGTAGTGTTGACCTGAGTGAGATTTCAAAACCCTTATCTTTCATCATTAACTCAAAAAACATGGGCAACATTTCTCGATTTATGAACCACAGTTGCTCACCTAATGTCTTTTGGCAGCCAGTTGTTCATGACCATGGTGATGATGGATTTCCACATATCATGTTTTTTGCAGCAAAACATATTCCTCCTATGACAGAGTTAACATATGATTATGGTCCAAGTTCAGCTGAGATGGGGGATTATGTTCAATCCCGGAGAACAAAAGAATGCTTTTGCGGCTCAGTTAAGTGTAGAGGCTTTTTTGGCTGAAATTTTAGCCATATGAATGTACTATGTAAGGAGTAGAAAGTCAAAGATGATCAGAAATAGCTATCGTTTCAGTTGTTTGTTAATTAGCTATGTTTTTACCATCATATAATTTTCCTCAAATTCTATGTTTCATTAATCAGCTCCTTTGCTAGCAAATATCGTTTTGATTAATCATTTTCCTTTTTTTTCCATTTTGAGATTAGCATTATGAAATGCATCCTAGTCAAAAAGACTCCTTTGCTAGCAAATATCATTTTGATTAATCATTTTTCCTTTTTTTTTCTCTTTCCATTTTGAGATTAGCATTATGAAATGCATCCTTAGTCAAAAAGACTCTTTTAAGATGTTTTTACTTTTGGTACGAGTGATTACCATGCCCCATTTATTGTTCATGTGATGCTTTTCGTTTCTGTGAGAGTGTGTACTGTATGATACTGTATTAAAAAAGAACCGCATTCCTTTTAGACATCATCTCGTTCAGTGGGATAGACAGGTATTCCTTTTCCGTTCAGGTTACCTTAATGATGATTTAGCAATGATTTGAAGTGTGTATGTGGAAATACTATTCTCTTTTCTTCCTGATAATTCATCTCATCATCATGCTTAGAACAAATTATAAGCCTGCTGAATTGTGCTGTATGCTTTTTAGCCGCCTCTGTTGCGAAGGATCTCTATACTATTTTTTACCTTTGCTTAGTGCAAGTCATCTCCTGTGTTTATTTTTAATATTCATTCTATATAGATGACAGCATGATCTTTGTCATCTGTATAGTTTTTATCAAGACAACTTGAAAACCATGAAGATTTTCTTAAAGTTCTCTAAAGGAGGAGACATTTATAGATGATAGTTGTGATAATGATAAGTAGCACTTTAATTATTGAAAGAATTTATAAAGATTTGATGAATGTACTTTTATTAAATTAAATGTTATTGATATTTTGGTTTCTTTCTTTTGACTCACAAGAACTTACGACCAATGTTAAATGTTTTGCTTGAATTAACATATTTGTCTTAGGAATCTTATTATACCTCGGTAGCATAAGTTATTGCTGTGACTTCTAGTTGCGCATCCTTGTTCTCTATCCAATTAGCTTATCGGATCAGGTGCAAATCCTAAATCTAGACCCGATGTATATATGTATCTCTTTCACTCGTCAGTCGTCCAAAAATTTCGGGTGACGAGCCTCATTTGGATCCAGGTGCTTAACGGACTTGAATGGGACCCGGAACCCGTCTGAACCATTCATTGCCGGTGTCTTTCTCCGTGCTGCGGAGTTGTGTGCTTGTTCGACTTGGTGCGCTCGCCGCTCCACGACTCCAGCTGCCACATCACTGATGAGGTGGTGTGGAGACAGGCGTGACGCAACGGATCAGCACGTGCCGCTTCTCTATATTAAGCAGTCTCCTCGCACTCTCCACTCCCCGCGCGGCGTTTCGTCGTCGCGAAGCCCGGTAAAGAGTAGAACGAGTGAAGCGGGAACAAGAATAGAAAGCGCTCCGAATTCTTCCCTCCTCCTTCCTCCTTCCTCCTCCCTTCGCTTCCTTGGGCGACTCTGATCAGATCGAGTCTTGCTCTCGATCTATAGGTTCCGAATCGGAGGCGCCGACCCGCGATTCTCGCTAGCTAGGTCTGGATCTTCCTTGGCCGGACCCGGTGAGTTGGATCTATCGCGATTCCGGATCCGCTTTTCTTCTATCGAGCTAGAGATCCGTGTTTCGATCACTTACATCTGTACCATTGTCTTGATCCTTTCGTTTCTTGATCTTGTAATTTTGTTCCATTCCGATACGATCTTGGGACGGGGTTCGGTTTGCGAGAAGAATTTTACGTGGTTTTAGTCGTTTTGATCTGAAATGGCTTTTAGACTTCTATTGACACGCAATTAATGACAAATCTGCGATTCAAGATTCAAGTGAAAGAGGGTTCCGCGGAGGGTTAAATGCAAGAGAGGGGGAAAGAGGGGAACGCGGTTCACATGCATTCACATGAATTCAAAATTTTTCTTTCTTATGCATTCACATGCATAATGCCTGCACTACTTTTTGCCATGTTCTTTTACATTTTATACACCTGACATTGTTTAAGCTGATGGTTTCTGATGTAGAGGCATGCATTTTGCAATGCACACTATGGATCTTCTGAGAATAAACGCAATAAGGATTCCAAACAAGCAGAAAATATTGAACCTGCAAGCAATGCCAATAGGAAAGAAGCATTAGATGCAGCCGCTTGGATGTTTAATGTTGTGACATCTGTTGGAATTATTATGGTTAATAAGGCCCTAATGTCCACCCACAGATTCAACTTTGGTAAGCCCATAAGATATTTCTTTTTATATTTTTTCACTTAATATTTAGGTCATCATATCTAACCATAATTTTGCAGCTTGCTAAACAGCAAGCAAATATCAATAGAATTCCAAGTACAACTTTTGCTGAGGGAATGAATGCTCCTTGGTGAGAAGTATGTCAGATATTATGTTCTCTCTTTGATATTTCTGTTAATGGTTATAACCTTAGATATTACCAGATTAATAGTTATTGACATTTTGTATCTTTTAATATGTATGCAAATTTGCATTAGGATACCTATTTTGACATGATGTCCTATCGCCTAATTTTCGATTGGCAGGTGATCTGTTCATTGTTAGTTTAAGAATTCTTCTCATTGTTTATTGTGTTTCTGAGGGCATGGTTTTTATAATGTTATTTTTTGCTCATTTCTGTGGGTGCCTTTTGTTCATACTAGGTTAATATATGTTTCAGCAAAGTGTTTCTTTCTCTAATATTTGTTTAATAATGTTAAATAATAAGTTCCTTCAGCAATTTATCTTCATGGTAAGTGTTTAGTTTTTACGCAAATGATATTCCAGCATTTTTTTCACTTAGTCCAATAAATGTGCACATTTTCAGTCTTTGTTTCATGTAGACCCACTGATTCAAGGTGCTTTTGTCTTCCAACTGCAACAAAATGGCTTTAACACCTTCCAAAAGGGTTAACGATAGGCCAAAGTCCACTTTCAGATTTAAAACTCTTCCTATTGTTTGGCCCCTGTTCCCTTATAGAAATTTGTTTCTTCAAGTAGAATAGTCTAAAGCCACTTCTAAGTTCTAACCAAATCAAGAATTGTCTCATCATAACCAATAAATGTAAAATTCACAAACAAAATTGGTTCCATGTTGTAGGAATGATGTAATGATACATAAGTAACTGGCATCATAGGTGTTGCATGGACACAAACATGGAAATGGGATACGGATGTCTATTTGGATGTTTAACCTGGCAAGAGCAATAGGATTCAAGGATACATATACTGTATTTGATTATAAAACTTAAAATATGTAATATTGAACAATATCTAGCTTTTAGTTTATATGGGATAACAAGAATATTATAATATGGAGGATCAATAGTTTGGAGTTTTTCTACCTTCATATGTCAGTAGCCTTGTCACTTGGGAATGAATAACATATCATCTGAGAATGAGATTGAAGTGGAACCTCCGAGATGGATCGCAAACATTATCTATGGCACTTGCATGCGAAACTTAATGTAAGGGAGAGGGAGAGCAATACCTTCTGCTATTTTGACTTCTAAATCTTTTTTTGATTGTGCTGTCTATTATAATTTTCTCTGTTAGTTGGCATTTTTTATGCTTCAACCCATTCTTGATAAGGGCCAAAAGTTACTTCTATTGTAGATGATTATCACAGTCATGCGAGTATTTGTGTCTTGAATATCAAGTATCAAACAGCTTTTAGCAGTTGTAGGCATGATGTGGTACGGAGGAAGTGCCTCATCAAAACCAGGAGGGAAAGAGCAGCGCAGCTATTCAGTGCCCATCGACAAACCTCAGAAGCATGGCCTGCTCTCAGAACCAGCAATGACGACAAGGTATAAGCTTCACTTCTCCTTTCTCTATCACACTTTATTCAGTTGAATGACAACCTTTCTCTCATAATGACAAGAAAAAGTTGAAAACATAGAAACAGTTGAAAAAAAAAAATTACTTTGCTACCTAAATCAAAATACAGTCATTTTCGTAGATGATTAGGCCACCCCACAACCGCATCTGAGCCAAAATGTATATAATACGGTAGATACAGCATATTGACAAAGAATTCAGCAGAAAGGTGGGAAACGTGAAATACTACTAATATTAACTAAACCTTCTGCCCACCAAAAGCATTACAGACAAAGAATCATCCACGTTGGCAAAAAAAAAAAAGTATTATACATGGTAAATCCATCCAATATGAAACCATTCACCCCTTCACTATTCTATCTAAACAAAAGAATTATGATATTGGGACACAGATAATCACCTAAAACCCCGATTACAACCTGCCATCCCATTCGTAGCAACATTGCTGTACAAACTTGTTACCCACTTCTCATCATCCCCATGTGGATCACAACGTAGAAGCTCAGTGGGTGCTATTTCACAGACAAGCTTTCGTTCAAACATGTCTCCCAAAACAAGAAAAAAAAAAGAGTTTTTCTCCCTGGTGACATATCCGTGTATTTGGGCCCTGCAAAGAATTCTACGACTGCTAGCCACATCAAAGCTATATTCTCATGGGCTTTCTGCCCTGCGGCTAAATTTAACCTTGGTGCACCATCATGGCTACAATTTCTTGAAATAACACTTCCGTGCAAAACCATCTACTTGACTCGGAACTCATGCCTAAATAATGTCAGATTTTGGGTGAATTTATCTCTATTCTTGGACTCCAAACTTCTTGTGACATCAGCCATCAGCTTATCAAAACATAGTGAGAGGCGTTCTACTTGATCTGAAGGCTGCAAGTAAACAAGAAACGCTTTATCTACATGCTGAATGATGAGACAACCACAGGTACTTAAACAATACATATAAATAAGAGACAAAGGAAATGATACTATTAGGAACAGGATCATATTTTTGTCATCTGAACTGGCAGAAACTTCAGATGATGCAAATTATCTTAACATGACATATGCAAATCCGAAAATCATAGTTGAAAATCAAAAGAAGAGCCCCAAAATCCGAAAATCCGAAAATCATAGTTGAAAATCAAAAGAAGAGCCCCAAAATCATAGTTGAAAATCAAAAGAAGAGTCAAGTACCAAAAGGCATCAAGACGATACTAGCGGTGATATCTTAAGGACCAAACTTCTTAATGTCCGATTGATACATGAGGGCAATTGAGGGTGAAGCCTAGGAACAACAGTAAGAGGTTGCTCCTTTCGGACATAGGCAATAAAGGTTTAAGTTACAGACACCACATTAGATTCACCCGTAATACATAAGACCAACAAATATAGATGAAGGTCAAGTAAATTCTCACCTGAGAAGCCAAAATCTGGACTTTCAAATCATTGAACACCTGCAGAGAAACAGAGAATCAGACAATGGCAATATTTGTTGGCTAAAGAAAACAACAGCTGAAGAAACAAAAGACAATACTTGAATCATGTACTCCCGAATTTTCAATATGAGAGAAAACGTGATATAGAGTGCATGTTCTGAATGAGTTGCATGTATTTTAGTTGCTTAAACAAAACTATTACGTGATATAGAGATCATATTTTTGTCATCTCAAGTTGACCTATCCAGATGACCCAAAACCAGACCACTCCTGCGTTGAATAGTGCAAACTAAATGTCTCCTGTTTTTCCTTTTCATATTCTATCAGCACGTCAGTGTAGCAGCAGTCTGATGTGGGACCGGTACAAGGTCCAATACCATAATTATAAACAATGGTCATTACCATTCTTTCAATCTAAAACTCCAAAGGTCAATCCCTCTTCTGTTAATATCATTACTAGACTGAATGGGAATTTTGAAAAAGACAAATGGGCATTTTTGCATGTGTGAATATTTTACACACACATATGGAACTACCATTAGAGGGACATGTATTAAACACAGACAATCATCAATTAGTAAAAATAATAGGGTGATTTGCCAAAATGATGGGAATATATTAAAGTTCCCCTACTAATCCTTGCGACTACTTAATCTGTACAAATAAAAGAGGATAAAGTGCTAGCAGGTGATGGTTCATGGCAACAATGGTATTAATGAAAAATCTAGATCTACGAAGTGTTTTTCTTGCAATTTAAAATTTGTCGAGGGCAAGTGCACATAACATATTTGTCGCAGAGTTGTCCACAATGATCATATCATGGCAATGACATCATTATATAAAAGAGATTATCACCTAACCATGGACAATTGTCTTTGCCACGCAGAAATCATCATTATTATTACCCTAACCCATTGCACACCATCCACTTATCTTGCCTATCACCATCACCCTTTCCCATTATCTAAAATTGCTTTTCCCTATAACTACCAAAACCTTCCCAGACTGTCTACACACAGTCTAACATGCCTCCTAATGTGACTGGTTCAAACCCAGCGTGGGCCTAAGCAAACAATCCAAGGCCTAACAGGACCTATCATCTTGAAGCAAGGACAAGTCTAGGATTTCCCTAAGCATAGAAATGTGAGGCCTTCACATTACAAGGGATGGCATATTTATAGCCCTAGTTTTGTCGACACATACATACCAATAATGTGGTCGATACGGTACAATGCCAACAGGCACAACTCAGCATGACCCTTGTATTGACTACAATAGGTACTTTGCCATGTACTACACTATATAAGCACAATCCCGAGCCAGTATTGTATCATTGCATCGGTACCATACTGGTGAAGCACACAACAATCACAACCATGATTGACAATGACATTTATCATTTGTGCAATAGTTCACATGTGGATGGTTGACTTAAACATTTCTTCATTGTTGCTGCATGAACAAAATCTGTACAACGAAGTGTATTAAAAGAACATTAAGTACATTGGATAAATTAACAGGTTACCTGCTCACTTATCAAAATTAAGCTCAGCATTGGTCTGCTAAGACTCCATTGATTGCCACAGTCTTCAAAAAGGACTATCTCAAACAGGGTCTTAAGTATCTGCAAAAAAAAAAATATCATTGTACTAAAACATTTATGAAACTCGATAAAATGAACCAATAATATTTACTAAGAAAAATCAGAATTAGCTTGTTCATTATTCTAAGTTTCTAACTACCAATAACAATGAGATTAACTGTACAAAATAGACGCAAAATAGACATTTGTTAGAAGAGTTTGAAAGGGAAAATTATTAACATGTGACAACAGGAAGATGATTAATGCGATATAAAGGACAATATGAAAAAAAAGAACAGGTGTAATGCGATGTGTGATTATTTAATATCATAAAAAACATGGTATTGATGTATTAGAATCTTATATCTTCCAAATTCAACTGTAGTCATGACTACTTAATTTATTTAAGCAAAAAAAAAATCACATGTTCATATTATTCAACTGTAGTCATGCAGAAAAAGTTTGACAACAGATCCACGTTGGTGGTATACTATTACAGAAATAATTTTCATTTCTCCAGAAAAGATAATGGACGCATATCCAGTTTGAAAGAGGAATAACTTGGTGGAGATTTCCTTGGGATAAGTTATTTGCATTCACCCATTAGGGAATTTGGAAGCAAACTAGGTAATCTGCACAAAAGCAGAGGAAGTTCTAATTCCTAATCCATTAGGATTAATGGAATTAAAGTCATATATTGAACAGAAAGATGATTAACATGTGACAACTGCTCATGAATGAAACTGTGTTCTCTTATGTAACCAATTGTGTTCTTCGTACTTTCTAATTTGTTCTTCTCTCCCTAACATCTATTTATCCTTGCCTGTTTCTTTTTCTCTTATCCAATGTATTACATTTTCATGATCTTAATGAAATATGACATATTAACCTATCTTAACAGGTTCATCACCAAATTGCTTGATGTTCTAAAATCTTCGTCATCCTTCTTTAGGTGCTATTATAACTGCTTTATAGAACCTTTAGGCTGCTGCTTGATTTAAATATTGAAAAGATAAATAAAATTCTCTTGTATTGATTACATAAGGTATTAAGATTGTCTGTCATATATCAAAAGCAAAACAGATTATAATAGCATATGGATAAGCATCATGATAAATAACTCACCTCAGCAAACAGATTGGGACACTCAACTACATGCCGGGCAAGATTCATTGTAGCTGGCGATGGAGGCATTTCACCTACTGTTATATTGTTGAAATAAAAGGAGGCCAGATTATCAATAGCCGACGCACACTAGAAGAAAAGAATTAATTAAACAAATGTCAGCCAAAACCTTCAAAAGAGAAGAATTTTCTAACATAACATAATGCTGTAAGTAATTGCAAAAAGATGCACAAAATATAAGCACAATTTGAAGGTTTATTTTGCAATCTAAATAAGCAAAAATCAAATAAGAGAATGCAAAGCAGATTCACATAATGTACCTGAGATGAGATACCAGCATCCAAACCTTTCAATCCAGATTCAAGCGATGCAATAATATGCATAAACGTGTTTGTATCAAGAGTCAAAATAAAAGAAATATGGTTGCCAAACAAAACCTCCATATATGCAAAATAGGCCTTTGTAAGCTGAAAAGAGAAACACAATAGTTAGGAACTCATACCACCATGTCCTCGACCTCAAAGAAAGCATGCCAATCAAGCCTTGCTGGTATAAGACCATGACAACTTTAGCTTGTGCCCACTGGCGCAGGCCAAATAGCATGGCATTAATGTACTATGCCCAAAGGTTATCTGTGTCCTCTAAATTGAAAAGGTAACAGGACAAGTAACAATTGTGTACGCTATGAAAGAATGCCTAGACGCAACTGCAGAGCAAAATATCATGGTGTTTTTTAACAGGATGTCATTTTTATATCAAAATCATGTAAATTTCAAGTATATAATATTTATTAATGCAAAAATAATTTATAAACTGAAAAATACTCCAGGATAACTTCATAAAATCTGGTCCAAAAGTAAAGTCAAAATCATACACCTTACCTTCTGATATGCCAATATATCGGACAAAGAAATTGACAGAATCATCTTTAAAGAGATATCAAGAACATCTGCAAGTGCCCGATCACCATATAATTCAAACACCCCAAAATTGACATAATTGCCAGTCATTGCTGCCAAATAGCATTGGTGTAAGCAATACACATGCAACAAGCTCTCAAGAGAATATGCGACAACACAACTGAAATCTATGGTTATGTCAAAAAGAGACAACCCCATGCAGACAATAGCAGAAAAACATATGCACAGTGTTTATTGGTTGATTCCTGAGTCAGCTCTAAGTACACTAGTGGCAAATGTAAAGGATCAGAAGAATACCTACTGCAAACCCACACCAACAACCAAATAAAACAAATGAGAAGAATGGTGTGCACTCACACACCAGTTCCCTGATTGCACATGACATGAAAAATTTAGATGAGGTGTACAAATTTTACACTAATGAATTATCCCATGCCTCCTAGATTATCCCATGATGGGACTACTAAAGCCACAATTGCATATCAAGGAGCAACCATAAGCCTCTCATAGTATTTTATCAACTATATACTACTTGTGAACCTCGTCCGTCTTGCCCACTTCACTAAATAGTAGTTCTTAATCTTTTAATTCTGGTAAAATCATGTGAGAAAATAAGTTGCAAAACATCCTGAGCTAAAAACCTTCTTTTACATTTTGAAGACATCACCAAACTCAAATACCGTATCACAAAAGTCCAAGGAAAAACAGGTATGTAAAAAAGCAGATATGAGGTTAAAATGCCAAAATTCTTTTTTTATGCATTATGGCAATATCCAGAAATTCGAAGATTTTTTCCTAAAATGGGAACCCTAACAAGAGACTCGGTACTTTTCACAACATAATTGGGCCATATTTTATGTTGCTCTATATTGGTATTATATTTTATACAGCCTGTCTATTAAAAAAAATGTAACATTAACATTGGACAATAAAAGTAAAAATTCTTTAGTCTGATTCTTGAATTTTTGATGTTGCTAAATGTAATATTTGCTCAATAAATAGTCAAACAATATGTTTACTTGTAACTTCTGCCAGCCTTACTCATATTTGCCTTTGTTATCTTCGGTCTTCCCAATAATTTTCATCCTACTGCAATTAGGCACCACACACTTGCATGAATAGAGTTCTGTGCCAATTTGGTAGCCTCTAATCACAAAGGTCGTTGTGGCACTTGAAACTGATAGGCATTTAAAACCACAGGTTCAATTGATTTATAATTCTTGATTTGTTATAATAAAGGTAATCAACTACAAGATTTTGTATGGTTGAATACTAGTTCCAATGACCAGTCAGACTCGTATGGTATATCATTCGATATCCTGACTTGTACCCATGTCATCGGAATTAAGAAGCATTAAATATAAACTGGTATCAAGTATCAACCTATATACTGATCCTTGCTCTGACAATTAAATACCAGCAGGTATGTGAAGGTCTGTTCAATGTTTAAGACCTAGATCAACTACTATTCAAATGTTCAGCTCAAGATACTGTTAGTGGCAGGCTCAACTTTGTGTGTTGAATACCATCCTTCTCAAATTCTTCAATGAAGAATATTAGGGTCTTATAAACTCTCAATAAAATTCCTAAAATCTTCAGCAATGTAAACATATATTGTCCAGGATATTCCTCTGGAGTTTTAGGTAGAGCTGAATACACATGGTCTTCTACCTCCATTATATCCACATACTCGGTTCAACTACTACTTTCGCAGGATGGAAGGTAACCAAATTTTGAATGTCACCTCACAATGCATAAACCCTCATGCAAGACTGATTTAGTTTAATACCATTGTCACAATCTGGATATCCTCCAAGCCAAATAAATCGCATCAAGTAAACTCTGCTGACGTTGTACTAAGTGCCAGAGTCAAGTCATTAACAGTAGGTAGGCAATCAATCCATATATCCAAAGGCCATTCCAAATTTCCTAATATGAGATAATAAATCACATGACTATTAATGATTTAATAAGGAATATCAATAGTCATCATACTGCTCTTACATATTGTTCATTATTTTCTTATAAATATAATATTACCTGACAAGAAATCGATTTAATATTTACAGGAGGCAAAATGTGAATATGCAGCAATTATTTCCATGATCGGGATTTCAGTATGTCCATAAAATCTTGTTAGAGCATGTTGTTGCACTGAGGTGCCCCTTTTTAATAGTATATTGCAAAAAAGAAGGTTTTATCATTAGTGTCCTAATTATAATTACAAACTTGACACCTGATTGCACAACCTTCCCAAGTAAATTTGTTGAGGTTTAAAAACTATTATGCATAATTATAAATGTAGATGATGTAGTCAAGATGAACATTAGTAAACAACATCAAAAAATTAATCAATGTGACACCATGAAACATCTTGTAATGACGCATATAAAGTTGACACCATTTTTATCTATGAAGATATATATCATTGACTCACCCCTTGTGAGAATGGTTAGAGAGATCCAAATTCCTTTGTACTTGTTGGCATAGACGTCTGTGTTGATGGGATGGGATAAAATTCTTGACCCATAAGCAACAACTAACTTGCTGACTTCCCGGAACAAAAGAATACCATTAGCTGATGATGAATCAAAAGTTAAACGTTGAGCTTTGTTTAAAACAAATTCCGCCATAAACTTTAGCAATGGTGTAGTGACCTGCAATAGTTTACTGTTATAATCCGTACAATTATGAAGTGAAACAAGTAAAAAACATTTCATAGCAATGTCTCATGATATTGCTATATTGGTCCAACTCATTACTTTGGTTTCTCAACTTTATTGCCCAAGTCAAATTTCAAATTTCATAAGTCAACTCTATGTATAAACAATTTCATAGTTCTTATGCAAAATGTCCTAGTTGCATGAGCTTGAACAATGTCTGTAGAAGTTCATCAGAATTTCACACAAAAGTACTTGCACAGAACCTTCTTTCATTTAGACTTCTGCTAAAGCAAATTCTACAAATAAGGCTTCAAAACATTATGATCACAAGTCAACATGCCTATTTGTGTACATGTCTGCCAAAAGCAAACAGATATTTGCATGCAAATAATCAGTGAGTATTCTATAAACCCATAATACTCACAACAAAGATTGCAACTATCGGTATTTGATTGCATATGCCTATAAAGTATCCCACATCTCAAACTCAGTATATAAATTTTAGTTATTGGCCTGCAACATGGTTAAAAACCTAATTAAAATACTACTGAGAACCTATGCAAAGTTAACCAGAATTGAAGTCTCTCTTTTGACATCACTGACATTGTTACTTGTGTGTTTAGTAAGTCACAAGAAGACCTTAGAGCAAAAAGCAAACTGCTATGAAGACATAACAGTTCCACAGGAAAAGAACCTGATCATTATCTTCAAAAGATAATCCACAACAAAGTTAGCTACAGATGAATTAGTATAGTAACTAAACAACCTATCTATATCTGAAATCAAGATTCAATTGATCTCATTCAGAAAGTAAACGCATCTGAGTGCATCAAGACACAGCATGACCAATTCTGAAGAGTCCAATAAAACTAGATCAATACCTACAGTTTGCATCACTTGAGATAAAAAGGATTATTAATTGTTTATTATCTAGTAAAATAAACATACCTGTGGTACATCTGCCCAATGTGAGATGGCTTTTAAGAGAAGTGGCATGTGTGCTGGATATAACCAATCAAAAAGAAGCCCATATGTTCTACGACTGAAAAAATATAAAATAAAAAGATGAACAATTGTATCCATGCAAGCCACATCTCTGGAACAAAATATAAGTACCTATTTGTAGCCATGGCAATTCCTCTTAAATCCCTCATTAAACCAATAAATGCATATTTTACAGCATCAGAGCGGAATGCAGCATCAGGGGTTGTTTTCAATCCAATCATAACCTGCGATAACATATATATAGACTAACTTTAAGCACTAAAGACAACAGGCAGAACCAAATAACAGGAGTTTCTGCCAAGATGCCATTTACACCTGTAAAAGTGGCTCCATAGAAGACTTGAACTTCACAGGACTGTCTTCCATAAAGATCAAGTAACCAAGAGTATAATAGAAGGTTGTTCGACTGTGAGAACATCTATTATCCTCCAGAAACGGAAAGTTATCTCTCTGCAACAAAAAAGTACAGTGATATCTTCAGTACAAACACCTCAGAGTCAAACAGACCCATCTAATAGAACAGGAAAAGAGTATACTAAGGGATAGAGGTTACTGTGTGATGTGAAATGATGAACTTTATAGAATCCAATTTAAGCAGTAGCTTTCCAGTCATATAACTGACAAAAACTTCAGACAATAAGAAACTTGGCAGACCTATAATGAAGATAATTACGAAGCAAAACCAAGAAATACAACATACCCAGATGCAAGCTCCGAAAAAAGAGATAAGGTGTGTTCAATAACCTCCTCGCACTGCATACATAGGAAGATTGAGATTTAATAATGGGTTCCTAAGAAAAGATCAGTTAAAATTACAGTTCAAAGTTTACCTCAGTGTAGCATTTAAGATTGGTTGCGATTTTTCCAACAATAATATTGAGCAAAACTAGATGATCATGGATCCCAAGGAGCTCTGACAGCCTTGTGTATAACTGCTGCAGCAGAAAATAAGCATCAAAGGATGTAAGGAAATGTGAAGTAAGGATGGGTACAAAAGTCCACTTGCCTTAGATGAATGCATGGCTAAATCACCAACATATGATTTCCGGAAATTCTGGAAAAAGGTTAAAATCGCACGGTCAAGTCTTTGCTTGCTTATTTCCCCATATCTCTGCAAAGAAATTCAATTAACATTGTTAAATAATAATAAAAAACCTAGAAGATAGGCTGGAAAAGTGAACAGAAGTTACAGTGTTCAATTTGTGACGGTATGCAGATACTTGTCAAAGAGAGATGTTCCGAACAACAATTTTGATGCATGTGGAAGAGACAGTTAAGTGCTCAATATGCTTCATCTACTGATAGCACACAACGATTACAATTCAAGAATTCTCTGGTCAGATATGAGGATAATACAAGGAACTAAGTATGCAACTCCTCACTCTCTCCTAACATTGGCAATTAGTGTGGCCCAATTCCTTACAAAAGAAAAGACCATAAAAGTCCCTACTATTTAGGGTCGGATACATGGATATTTTGTCACCACTATAAAGAATCATATCTTTAGTTAAGAATATTTAAATCTTTATGTATGGTAGAGGTCTCCTAAACACATATCCATACCATCTTACAAAAGAAACACGCACAGGGGCTTAATGTCAGCTTTGTTGATTCCACTCTAGGCATTAAATGAACCTCATGAGGTTAGGCACAACAATTTAAATATCAGCCAGTACCATTTCGGGAACATATTGAACTGATATTGTACCAATATACCTTGCAGCACATTGACTAATATCATTAAGTAAAATAATAAAATAAAATAAAATAAATGGTTTTATACTAGTATCGAGTTATACAATTTAATACAAGTACTTGGTTGGGCAGATGGTTATAGTAGACACGTATCGATTCGATCAACATTTAAATCCTTGAGCCCCTTGGTAAGGATAGCTCCACGTTTTCCATGTATGAGTAATATTTTTGATATTTTTATGGATATTTTATCAAGGTTTTTAATTTTGTACCGTACCGGTATACCGAGCTTTGCTCGGTATGGTACGATACAACGTACTGAGCGATATACCCTAGCATACTGCTCAGTATATGTATTTTTATATACCTATGTATTTTCATATACATATGTATATAAAAATATGTTTATATACGTATGTTTACTCATAAACTTATGTATTTTTATATACATATGTTTATACATATATATATGTTTATATACATTTATTTATAAAAATATCCCCTTTCCATTTCGAGAGACGAAAAGGGGGGTGATGGCGGAGCGGGAGAGGATGCGATGCGTTGCCTCCATCCCTAGCTTGAACTCATCCCCCACGAGGCACTACGCAATGCTCCTACGACAGCCGGATCCAACGGGGATCCAGCCCATGGCGAGCTCATCTCCCGCTCCCCCGTCGCTGCCGCTCTCAGCGATAGTGAGGAAGAAGACCAAGATGACGGCGAGAGCGAGAAGAGGAAGCAACAGTCCAACATGGGCCAAGATCCCTTCCTTCACCATCGACCGCGACCTCCCCGACAACAGTGGCCACGATCACTCCACCCCTTATTGCGTTTCACCCGACGAAGCGAGGACCCGCCCCCTACCATGTTCTGCCCGACGGAGCACTTCTTCATGTCCCGCCACGTCCAACTCTCTTCTCCGTCATGCCTTCTCCGTCCAATGAGTGCCACAGCCTCATCTTCCTCACCGTCGTGCTCCTCGTTATGTCCGTCAGTTGATACCGCCCAGTAGCGGGCGGTTCGCATATTGGTCAATTGGCGAACCGGTACGTACTGCCCGATACGGAAGGTACAATTCGAAATTTAAAACCTAGCATTTTATATTTCCACCATGTTTATGTGATCTTATGTCTTGGATTAACTCCATTAGCATATGTTTTCTTGAAATTTTCTAACAATGTTGGGCTTCCCCATATCACCAATAAGATGCTTTAGGTCAACTTTCCATTCTAGTGACAGGACTGGGAGGGCTCAAATTGACTCTGAAAGACTGAAACCGACTTTGAATCTATAAATAGATAGAAGACAGCACAAATTACAGAAGATAGGTCTTCTCACCTGAGATCTACCTTGATGAGGTGTAACTTAAATTTTATAGTGATTTATCTTCTAGCATCCATACTGTTAACAGTGATGATCTTTGTCCTCCCATTCTTTTTCACAGCCTCAAACCACTAGTTGTTTTTCTGCTTGTGGAGCTCTGGGATTTGCAAACAATTCTTAATCTTGAAAAGATCATCTGGCAGGTCTCAAAGTTGCTCTTGACATTTGAACATCAATCCTGATTCCTTATCTTGGGCTTATTGAAGATGATGATTTTTCTCCTTAAACATTTCTAGATGTCCTTAAGACCAGTATTACTTCAGCTCTTCCTTGGGATATTATTACAGTTCGATCACCGTTCAAAATTCAAATCACCGAGTCAACCACCTTCTTGCCAGAGCACCATTCTAGATAGTAGCAACTCTTTTTTTTGTGCAACAAGTTATGAAGACCAAAGGCTTCGATCTTAAATGCTCAGAGCAACAGGTGCTTTGACCTCCACAAGATGGGAGGAAAAGAGTGTACATATTCAATTGTTTGGTCTTTGCTCTTCCTCCCTTTCTCTTTCTTTTTAAGGTATGTACATACTAATTTGTTCAGTATTCTCCCTATTCTTTTTTTTTCCTTCTTATATTTCGCTTTCTGTGACCACCTATGTCTGCGGACTTAATTGTCTATTTGTGCCAACATACAATACTGGCCAGCCAGAACTTAGTTCAGCTAAAAATTGCAATCTTTGGTTTGACTCAACTGCAATCAAGGATCAAAATTTGATGGAAATAGTATTATTATAAGCGTAGATAATTCATAGATGAAAAGGTTGTCTTTCTTCCTCTTTACCTGAGAGTGCAATCCACTGTCTGTAATATTTATTAACTGCAAAACACGTGCAGCAAGTTCTGCATCAATTAACTCCTGAGACTCCGTGCTGTAGGAGAAAAAACGAGGAGCATATCATATTGATGAATTTACTTCTTATATAAACGCTAAAAAAGAGACAAGATCTTCACATACCTACAACAAGTAGTCTGTCTGACCTTCAGAATAGCAGCAATGATATGAACTATCCATGCAATTTGCCCTTCAATCACAGAGAGTTCATCCACATCTCCATGAGTAGGTTGTCTTGCTCGCTCCTACATTCATCACACATTATTGCATTATGTTATTCCTGATATGAAATGTGAACTTATATATAGGTTTAAACTTCAAAGACTGAAGATGCTATAGTTATTCAAGTACTGCAATTATTATACCGTATAAGCCTGCAGAATAGGTTCCATAATCTTGATAATGTACACGCTGCTACTTCCATACTGCAACACATAAAGGATGATATTATGCAGAAAACGCAGACTCAATCATAATTGAAAATTGAAGCAACTTTCCAACCACAAGGTTTTGATATAACCAAATAATGAATAAGCTTCAAGCCAGGTAGTGCATGGACTGTTGATGGCAGTCTATGCCATCGTTAAAAACTCCGGTATGGTGCCTATACCTGTAGGCAACAGCACAGGGATGATCTGGTACTGACTGAGGTTCCGACAATCGGTATGGATCGGCCACCAGAACAAGAAAAAGGAGAAAAGAGAGGAAGAGGATGAGAAGGGAGAAGGAAGAAGGAAGAGGACTGGCAGAGGAGGAGGGTAAGGCAAAGGAAGAGGAGGAATAGGATGTGGGGGACTAGCAAAAGAGGAGGAGAAGAGAAGGAAGATGTGAAGGAGAACCAGGGAAGAGAGACAGAGAGATAAAGAGAGAAAGAAAGGGAGAGAGAGAATGAGAGAGAATCACGGGAGGAAAGCTAAGAAAAAAACAAAACAAGGCCAGCTGTCAAAACAAATGATAGAGGTACCAGGTGAACAGCAAGAGCATTGGAAAATGCCAACCTGGAATCTGCAGAGATATGGGAAGCACTCAAGCTGATCTTGAAGAAGTTCAATATTGTCCAATGGATTGTCTGAAAGGTCATCCGAAAAACCACCCTGAAATTAATAGCGTTAGCAGAGCAGCAATGTAACTCTTCGAAAATAAAATTTCATTAAAAATAGCATACCTGAACAGAACTGAATCTAGAGGTGATAAAACCTTCAGTGATTTTCGGCACAGTTTCATCCAGCAAACTTGGTGTATCACCCTTCAAGTAAGGTACAGAAGTCACCAGCCTCGACCAAAGCCCTAGAAGATAGTATACACTGTTGCTTGCCCACTTGAAAATTGAAAAGAAAAACAATGTTAACCACTGCAATCTGAGAAATAAATACTTCAATCTACCAAAATACAAACAGATTGCCAAATTAAACAAACCTGCCATGACTGCAGTGATTTTGTTGTGAATTCTGCTACCAAATGTATCCAGTCAGTATAAATTTCCACGCTTAAAAGCTCCGACAACTGGGAAAATGAATTCAACATGTTAACCATCAATGGCCAATATTACTATCAAATTAAGTCATTCATAATGACTTGTCCCAACAAAGTCATATCACATCAAGTCAAGGCTAATCTATATGTTCTGATAACCTAAGGTGTGCAAACAAGAAAACCTAAATAGCATACATAATAACATCCAAAAACCTACTTTGAACCACTTTACTGCACTTTCAGATAATGAAATACTTAACACAGCAAATCATTCAGATGAATTCATTCAAGTCTGCCCTAAACTGCACAGTTTATAATATGGCAGATATTCATTCTTAATGTAAGTGTTAACTGCACAAGATTACCAACTAGTTCAAAAGTGCAGGCCAAATTTAAAAGCAATATAAGAAAAGTACAGTTGGAGTTAGAAAAAATCATGGGTTAATCCAATCCAGGGAAAAGTCCAGGTTACCATCTGATGGAAAGGGCATTGAACTGCTCAAATTTTCTTCTAAGAGAAATGTTATCTCATTCTACTCTAAAATATATTTTATAATAATTAAACATAGTTCTCAGAACATTTTGGAAACAGTTTCACATAGTTTGATGACAAGATGTAGTTGTAGTTGAAAGAAGTTGTAGTTCCTAAGCATATTTCTTGGAACTTTTCCTGGTCACCGTTGAAAGTGTAGTTGTTGCAAATCAAAGGGCATTACGCAGCTTAGTTCGAACCAGTGTGGGTTAACAGTTGTTTCCATGCCTTGGTATATAGACTCGTCGAGCCCAAGTTAGCTTGACGAATACCATTGTAGCCCATGCATGGTGCTTCCTCGAAGATTACTTTCTTGTTTTTTTCAAAGATTACTAATTTAAAATTGAATTGGACCAAGAATGACAAGATAGCTTTTAGATATGAAAGCAGTGGAGAAAGCAACACATATGCACAATGGAAACTATACTTGTAATCTTATAAAGGATCAGTTGTGACTGTTTCAACAATAAAAGTACACCTACACATGAGACATAAAAAGTTCATTACAACCAAAACTAAGCAAAAAGAAAAAAGGACAAGCTGATATAGCATACTCTAGAAAGAAGCCAATTCTAAATAGGACACCCCCTTTCCAATCACAAGCTCATTCCAAAACCCCAAGGTACTCCATCTTCAGAATACTAATAAAGATTATGACCCTTGACGGAATTGTCTAAACTTTTACAAGGAATAAACCAATGAGGAGACTGACCATCATTATGCTATCAGAATAAATTAGTTACATAACATAATTAGGTATTAGAGAGACATCATTGAACCAAACAAACTTAGCCATTAAATGAAATAAAGAATATGACAAACTCTTTGGGATTACATCTACAGAACAGAATAATAAAGCATGAAAAGAGAAATAAAAGGATATAGTAACTTCTTCCATGATTTGATCTAGTAACCCCAGGTTCTCAATTCTTGTATCAAGGTATTATTACTTCAATATACTAAACTTGAACACTTTAAATAGCAACTGAGAGTGTTTTCCACCAAAGTGATGACAAAAAAGAAAGAAACTACATGTAAACTATGCAAGTGCAGGAGATGGAGGAACTTACATGAAACAAATTCAAGACAAAAGTTAAAAAAACAGTGACTAAAAGAACAAAACTATAGCCAGGTTAATTAGCATGACTCAGATAACTACTATGTAAGCTAAAGTTCTCGTTCACTCACACATTTAGTACATAACTACATATGTCCTTCCCCTTCATCGGGTTTAATTAATAAGAAAATGGCAAAACACAAGGTTCTATTTGAAGGACAGAAAATATTAGATATTCTCCTATCAACCACAAATCACAATATTAATAACAAGTCGTGGACTGAAACCCTAACTGATATTACAGAAATTTCACGACAATGAAAGATTATCTTTTAGTCCAAACCTTCTAAAGATGGAAAAAATATACTACTAATGAACTGCAACTATATTAGGAGCTTCAATCAAGCCAAATGAATGAACAGGCTACCTGAAAGTTGACTTTGAAACGCCCTAGGAGACGGCAAAACTCATGATAGTTGTCATGATCAGCCAGGCCTTGGAAAAAGTAGGCATGAGGAAAGTTAGTAACATAACCATCAGTAAATAAAAAAAGTCTAACCAAAGGTATAACTTAAATTTGGTTGGATAAGAAATGAGAATAACATATATTGTTATAGTAGCCTAGTAGGTTGATTATAAGAAAAGCAAAAATCTCGTGTCAACTATTGTGATTAGGTATCTTCCGTTTGATCCTTCTTTTTCATTTTTCAGATGGTACGAATTGTGAACAAGTGAAAGAAAGAATGTTGTGAAAGAGAGTAACCATTAACCTTTCTTCCTTTCACAAGTAATACAAAACACCTACAAAAGAATTTTCACCCCCTACTATTAGAGAACCATCTGTTTTCTTTTTATCCTTCTCTCATGGCTCGTGAATCCATCACATTTATTTTTCTTGATCTAGTGCATGCACATTAAACCTAAGAGACTCTCTAGTTGCTGTGCTGCTGATGAAATTTTGAACAAAATTTGAGTTCTAAGTTGAATGTTTTTTTTTTAACTAGGCAGAAATTTCTATTACATTAATCAGCATACAAGACGTTCAAATATGACTCAAACCAGAGGCCCATTACTTGTGCAACAATATAGTTGAATGAATTTTAAAGCTGTATATTTTATACATGCTGGGAGAACTTTGGCACTGATCTTATGGAACCACGAATGAAATTTTTGATTGAAGCCCTTTATGAATCCAATTAAAATAAATTTATAAATGGGTCCCAACAACTGATGCATTGTTGATGTGTATCTGATGGACTTAAAGAACATTTAATATAACTGGTGGCCAACAGGGCCCATGCAGCAAGGGCGCACTGGAAGGTCCACAACTCACTGTATCCTAGAGACTGATTTCCTCAGAACCATGCAATGTGGGGGAGTGAATTACATCTTTTAAAAAGTGCTGTTGGATGTTATGCCTCAAGCACGTGCAACATTTTATTGCATCTTTTTGCAGGAGTTTATTATGCATCATAAAAGTTCTATTTTCACATCCCTAATCCAGAGTAAAATGCATCTGCACAAGCAATTACCCCCAGTTCAACTCAAGATAACCTCAAAAGAAAAGAAAAGGAAACACTACACAATCAATTTATATCATCTAGTTTATAGCTTTCAGGTTTTTAACATCATAGTCTATGGCGTAGCCAACCTAATGTAATGACTGAAGTGGAACAATACATTACATAATCCTAAATAACAAAACCTTTATGCAGTACGAACCAAGTTAACCCCATCAGCACCAATAGTATGACCCAGACTGTCAAAAGGCCTTGGTTAACAGACAAAGGATGAGACAATCCAAAGTGTTCATGTTTGTTGCAAAGTAAACATGGTTTGAATGAGAAATATAGAGGAAACGTTGCCTAACTTCTGTTGTTTGCACAGAAACAGATCGTATCAGGACCTGAACTTCCATCTTGAAATCATGAGCAGTTAGAATGACCAGAACAATGGAGGTCACAGTGATATTGGCACAGCTATAATGAGCATTTATTTACAAAAGCTCTGCCTGTTTCCTAATATTACATGCAAATCATTCAATCATTATCTCTAGACAGAAGACTCGCAGGATCACACTAGCTAACAAGTAGATGTGTTATTTGAATGTGTAGTGCTGATACATTTGTCAAAAAATTCTTATGGTTACCTTTCTTAGTGACATTCTCGAAATCAATTGCAAAGACTATGAATTAGTGTCTTTACTGGCATGCAAAATGACTAGAGAGATTTTGGCAAAACTACTTGTAACGGCTCAAAGGCAAAACTACCTGTAACAAATCTTTTTTTTTTTGGGTGACATTCAATAAATAAATTGCAAAGAGTATGAATTAGTGGCATTTTAAGGCATATAAGAGATTAAACATTAAAAAAAATTATTGCAAGACATAATTAATACCCTCTAGTTTTAAAAAACAATATGAACATGAACCTTGGCCTGTTTGCAGTATCTCTTTAGTCCCTCTCATTAGATGAGCTAGAAACTGGGAGCGTGCAGGATCATCAGTAAATAAAGACCGCCTTACAGAAGCAAGCCTAACTAAACACTCCAGAGCCTGAAAATAAGATATAAGGTATAAATATAATAAGTAACTAAAATCAGAAATAAGCAAAAAAATGAAATAACAGTTATATAAAAATATTTGACATAATCGACTGTGTGACTATCACCAACTTTTATCCAACCAAACCACCCGAATTGAACTAACCTGAAAAGTGGGGTCTAAATAATCCCATCTGTCAAAGATTTGAATCCAGATGAATCATTTGGTTTTGTTCAAACTTCAGGGTACATTATATCTTTGTTTACAATTTTGGACAAAAAGGATCTGGGCAACAGAGTGGAATTTATGCTAGAAGGAGAACTATGCATAACATTGAAGATAAATAGCATCATGTCAATAGTTTAACAATACAATCAAAAAGGATAATCAAACTTTTGGAAGCATCAACAATCAAATAATTATGAATTGTCAATATATTAGCCAAAGGTGTTCTCATACATTACATAAATACACTTCTACATCAAACTCACAATATTGATTTCAGGTTTGAGCTACAATAACTTTTAAAAATACCAAACATCTTGAGTAGAACTCACAAAAAATTCTGATTATATGAATCAAAGATGATCCAAATTGATAATAAAAACCACAATCTCATTTCGAGCAATAGAAATATAAAAAGCGAACTTAGCATATGAGGCTCCTGCCCCTACCAGATATGGACAGTCTCACCTCTATTTTAATTTTTAAATGGGTTGTTTCACCCTGGTATCCATGACATCTTACCATTCCACCTAATTGATGCAGACCCCGATCAGCGTTTAGAGTTTGACATCTTGAAACACCAGCAAAACAAACTAAACAGTTTTGATAATTCTAGATCAGAAACCAGGTCACCAAAAGGCAACTTCCAGAGTAGCTTTCCGCCTAATAATAGATACATAGGCAACATGATTATAGAACAATTGATTTTTGAGCTCTAAGAATTAATAGGTTCTCCTGAGAAAGACAAGATTCACAGAGTGCATTGTAAAATTACAAAAGCATTTGATAGCATTGCTATGTGTAAATTACTTAAAAGATTTGACTGAACAGAATTGGGATATGGTGCAAGATAAATAAGATATGAAAAGGTCATACTTATATCAGAAAGAATTATTTTGAACAATTAGAAGCTACCATATTGATAACACTGCAAGTGAGAAATATAAATTCAATATAATTTACAAAGAAGGAAACAAGCATGCAAATGGAAAGCAGAAAAAAACTCTAGGCTTACAAACAAAGAAAATGGAACTGTGAAACATGTTGTTGACCATAAAAACTGATTAGGTTGCATTTGATTGAAAAAACAACATTAAGTGGAAAGCAATAAAAAAATATACTAACTTCGATGTATAATAAACCTGCCAAAAAAAACTTTATTTCCCTCATACACTATACCTCTTTTGACAGAGGAGGCTCAGTGATACTGTAGTAATCAAAGAAAATCTGCACGGTGGAAGGATCTTGTATGACTGGTTTCCACGAAGATGGAATCTGCAGGAATTAAAGGATGTCAAAAAACACGTATCAGGTAGCGAAATAATCAAAAAATTATTCAGATATATGAAATTTGTGCCTTATAAATGCAATACCTGCACAGTACCAAATTCTTCAGAGCTTTCATCTACTGAAGTTCCAACAAAGTCAAAAGACAAGCATTTCAAGGAAAGTGAAAGAGCAAGTTCCCGCAGCACAGAGACTGCTAAAAAAATAATAACAAAAACATCAGATATCACATTACGATAAAAAGTTAATATGGCATGACAATCTCAATCATTGACTCCAATTAAAAACCTTGCATATCTTCATCACTTTTTAGCTGATGCAAAGAAGTCAGAGAAATTTGAAATATCTGGAAAAGTGATTGATCCCTGAAACTGCAGGCAACCTTTCGATGATTTGTTAGAGACATTCCCTGGTTTGGCTGGAAAAGTTAAAAGGCCAAGATGTTATTGAAAGACTAGGTACCATGAATGGTTGACCAAGAGGAATACTTATAATAGAAAGATATCTCATCTGAAAGCCACAGAAAGGGTAAACAAGTTGATGAGGTTGCAAGAATAGCTGATATAAGATTGTAAATATAACTTCCAGAAGAAGTTCATAACAATATCCATGAAAATTCCATAATTACCTTTGCTACAATTTTCTTTCAAGATCATAATTGATACTTGCCAACCTCATACAACTCGTGTATATTTGTCATCAAAAATAAATATGAACAATGGTTACACATGTTTGGACAACCTGAGACATAAAATTAAGAATCTTAAAATCTAATCTGATTAAAACATTACTGTCTAACTTCAGTTTGATTTTACTGTTGTTCAGCAGCAGTTTTGTTCTGACAAGAACCATTTGAGAGGTTGTTTACTGCTGAGCAGTAGGCACACATTGGGTTGGTTACAGTTCACCTAAAAATTTGTCCAGCAAGGGCAGACCAACACATGAGGCTCCCACCAATGAGAAGTAAAGAGTAGAGAGGTTGTTTCCATGAATGCCTTGGTTATCCAGGTTGCAAAGAGCAACCTCACCATGGTGCCAAGGCTTGCTCTCTGAATCTTCCAAACTTACCCAGAAACTGTAGTAATTTATGGAATAAATTTTGTAGACCCTTAATAATTGAAGCAATTTCATTAGTCAATCTTAAAATCTTTACAAGTGTCATGTAGGGTCTTAGAGTTTTGAACTCATTATCAGCATTTGTCAAATGAAGAATTGTCTTGCTCAAGAAAACAGATCGGTTTGCAATACCATACCGTACATACAGAAAGAGGGTTTGCAATACCATACCGTACCACTCGGTACGGGTTGTACGTAGCAGTCCACCAGCAGACCGGCACGCGGACCGTCTGCTACTGGGCAGTGTCAGGCATTTAGCCCTGTATCAAGCGATACAGAGCTATACCGGGCGAAAACGGTCGAAATCGATCGTTACCAAATGGCAACAGTGCTCCAACGATCAATTTGATCGTTGGAGGCCTCCTCAAGGGTTTTTAAACCATTTCTTCCCTCCTATTTCAATTCATTTCACTCTCACACTCCCTTAAACTCTCTCAAACTCATTTTTGCTCACATTCTCTCTCTTATTCTCATATTTTCACTCACCTAAACTAAATAAAGCAAGGATTTATGAATTGAATCAAATTTAGGAGACTAATTTGGAAGGATTAAGAGGAAGAACTTTTTAGTCAAGAGGTATATATTCTCTTTCTAGATTTTTATTGATTTATGAGATGATTAAGCCTATTATGATAGTTGGTCATAGTTTTCCGAGCAACAGTATGATATGGAGCAACAAATCAGTAGCAAAAGTAGAAATTTTGACATTCACTAATACATGCTTTAGGAGCCGCCTTAGACACATGTGATTTATGACGATAAACCTACGACCATCACCACATTGATGCACCAATGGTATACGGTGGATCAATACACTATGTTGTGGGATCAATTTCATGATTGGGTCCGACAAACATATCATATTGATATACAGATACATAGGATCGAGGACCCCGATCCACCACACATGGATGTCCGTCATTCGTTTTAGTGATAGAATTAGGTATATCTATACATATGATTACTTAATTCATTTGAATCTTAAAGTTTAAGTTACATATAAAATAATCTAACAATTCAAATAATTTTTCTATAAATAATTCAATATTAACGGAAGGACGATCAGAAATGGATCGAAATTGCGAACCTTGTACAAGGCTACTCCTCAAATCCCGTAAAAGATATATGACACTATTCTTACCTAATTTACATTAGTTTTGCTAAAACTATACTAAATGTACATTTATTTCTAACCTAAAAACCCTATGCGAACTTTTTTATCTATTTTTTAAGTATTTTCGAAGGGTTTTATATCTATTTTAGGCATATCGCTCGGTATGCCCTAGCATACCACTTGGTATGACGTACCTACCGTACCAAGCAAATCTCGATACACCGGTACGAAACAAGTTTAAGAACCTTTACTCTTGTTAAAAGATACCAGCACATTATCTAATGGTATGCATTTTATCCTATATTCATATGAATGACATGCAATACATAGGTCATCTTATTTTTTTCTATAATCAGCAAATTGCTGAACAATCATAAGTACTTTATTAACAGCTTCGGGTATTGGGCAAGTAGGCACTATTATTGAGAATTAGGCATCAGAAATCAAAGTAGCAAACCCACTGGTTTGATGCTTAAGTTCATAAGTTAAAAAAATGCTATATTACAGTCCTAACAAAGTACAAGACATTGTTCTCCAAAAGATATAGGGTTATCTCAAGGAGCTCAACCTCAGTGCCACTTTAGAACATGAATAGATGTAATCTAATAAGATTGCACTAGTCTGAACAATCCGGGCATTAATTAATGCTAAAACAAAAGCCATGTATCACAAGTTCTGTATTACTCCAAAAATTACTAGCTTGCTCTGGATTATTTGAAACCCCTGTAATCACTTCATGCGATATCAATTAATGAACATAGGCCTCATTCAATCTCTTTTAAAGAGACGAAAAATCTCGTTAGATTTAAAAATGGCAGGGCTCACAAGCTATGATGACCGCATGCATGATAACATTGCAGCATTCATGAAATTAATCATCACCACTAAACAGACAAGATCCTAACTCACCAAGCTGCCATGTCGAGAGATGAGAAAGGCATTACACAGGTTTATGTACAAAGAGTCTAGATCAAACAAGGGTCAGGGGCAGTTAGAGTAGTTGAACATCTATCTTGATCATCCCATTGTCAGTATGCTAACATGGTGTTCAAACCAGCACACAGAGAAAACTTTAAAAAAAACCTTGCAATTGTAATAACTAAAGCAATCGTCCATCACATACAGAACTAATGTAAGCTGAGGCTCAAACAATTATCAATTTATTTCTCAAGTGTCATCTTTTAATTCCCATGCACACAGCAATCCACTCATGTACTTTGTTTACAAGAACATTTATGAATATGGTGGAGTAACTTTGAGTCCAACAGAGGTACCAGAACATTTATAATCTTGTTTATAAAACAAGATAAATGCAGAGATCAGACATGGTAAAACAAATTATGTAGCAACCGAGAGCAAGAAACTAAAAATTATATACTTCCAGTTCCAGATATGTGAATTTAATTTTCAGCATCATGCACCCATAATGAACAGTGAAGAGATTCTAACAAAGGAGTAGTATCACCTAAATATCTATCCAAACAATAAATTAAAAGACGCCATGTCCATGCAACACATTTGAGTGTCATCAAGTTATGAAACATATTTCACTGTCATCAAATCATGCTAAAACACAAAGTGTGGCTATGAACTGATAAGTACTAACCTGACTCATCTCAGATACAAGCTGGTTTAATATCTTCAAGCCAATTGAATAGTGGCCTGACGAAGCCTAACAAACAAAAACCAAGAATCAAACTGATAGTTAGCAGCAAATGATGTTCAGCCTACAAGATACAAACTAGCTTAAAGAAGTTGAATTATTATTTCTTCCTAACAACATTTACCAAGTTCTATTTATCTGTCCCCCGGTGAGAAAAAACTGATGTAGTCTAAAATTCTAAATTTAATCTAATGACTTCATATGAAGCAACGACCACAGTTTCACACGGACTGGTATAAAACAGGCACTGACCATTTTAATGTCGCATAACTTCCTGTCATAACATCCCAGTTCAGTCTTACATTGAAAATGGTCAAAGACTTGCATTGGCTTGTAAGGGCATGATGGGTCTACTCTCTTTAAGCATGTGTTTACAATAATGAGATGGAAATTAGTCATGGAGTCAGAAATATAACTAAATAAATATAAGTGGAACCAATAAAGATAAGAAGATTATTATATCATAATGTGTCTACTAGTATACATCAAGTATATCAATCACCCCCCTATCATCCATGTGAGCTTAATCTAACATAAACCAAGTTCTTATCAACAAAAGTAATAGATATCTAGAAGATAGAATTTACCTGACTCAAGAAGTTTGTTGCCTCGTTAACAACCTCTCTGAATCTGTCATCATCGAACCATCCAAATTTTGTAATCCGGCATAACAGTTGTATCAATGATCCAACTACAAAGTTCTGCAATTCAGGTCCTCTGCTAGCTAGATAGTTTATCACATAATTCCCTTCAAATACACAAACAATATGTCAATTTAGAATATTGCAGAGAAGTTGAAAAGATAACTTGAAAGACTAGTCAATATAAATATAATAAAACAAACAAACATGTAAAGTGGGTGAAAATACAAAATCGAACTTCTATTCTCCTTCATTAGCTAATTATTCAATCAAAACTGACAATGCAAGACATTTCATCTGTGTACATAGGTTAATCAATGCAAGTGATAAAGTGAATCTTCCATGTCTTTACAAAAACAGCTAAAGCAGCTAATGATATTGTCATCATAAGGATAAAACATGATCCATTAGACTAGTAAATAGATGAAAAAAATTAATCATGAAGACAAAGTGTAAACCCTAAACCTAAGCTAGAAATATTACTTGACCCCAAGCTTTATATACAACAAAGTATATTGTGGAAAAATTAACATATATGACTAAAGGAACATTACGGATATCAAGCCGCAACTTCAAAGAAAGACTGTGCTCCATTACTTGCTTCAACAAGCTTGAACTGGCCAACATCAAAGCATAAGGGGTCAAAGCATTGTCCAAAATGTATTGGCACTGAGATATATAATCAGGGTTCACAGAAAAGCATTTCAAAGTGCTCTCTGCATGTGCTCGTTCAACTGAGTCCTGAGAAGTGTAAAGCCTCTCACACAAGGCTTCCAAGTGGGCTAAGCTCTCCATTGATATGAATAACCAGAATATCCAAATTTTCAGATGGTCAAGAATCCAAGATTAATGGCGTATGTTTGTCTCCATCCCACATAACATCGAAGCACATCTACAAATTCCCATATAATGCTGTTACAGATTTAGGGAGAACTATGCAGTTCTGAAACTATACGTGATTATATATGATCACATACAAGTATTATATCGCCAACAAAGTTGAGAAGCTGCAATAAATGATAGTACCACTGGAATGTCGCATCACATACAAATGTACAACATGGTATATTTCAAATCAAATTCGTCCATGATATACAATGGTCAACAGAAGTTCAAAATAAACAGGAAGCAGGAGAAAAGGCCCAAGAGGTAGATCCTCAGCAAATGCACCACAGATCAGAGCCCAAGGCAAGCATCTAACCTCGCAAATATAAAAGAGGATATAGTTAGAAAGAGGATAAAGACAAAGCAACAGACATCCCAAATCATAACTAAGCAAAAATTTTCTCATGATATTACTGGCATTACAGATTTAAGTACGAAAACCATTTACAACTGTTGATTAAGTTGCGTTACAATAAAACAACAAAAAAACACACAGATAATTACCTACCAAAAAAAACTAACAATTCAATGGAATGCAAAATAAAAATGTAGGAAAAAAGCAGACCCCTAAAAGAACAAACAAGAACATGTTGCAGGTTACAGACATATTACAGAATTAATATATATATATATGGCTTATTAAAGCTGGTATAACTTTACACACTTTTTTTTTTAATATCTCCAGCAAGACTGCAAGATTGTGCATTACCTACTAATTTACTAAACCAAAGATATAAAATAAGAGCCGCCACACATACACATGACAACGAATTGGGGCATAGGTGAGCTGGTAATGACTCATGCCACAAGCCAAGTAACTGGGGCACAAAAGGCATGTGGAAAGGCAGAAACTAGGTCCCATGCGGATCACATCAAATCACTTGGTCGGCACCAACACATTCATTAACCAATACGCATTTTGTGCATAAACTACCAGCAAAAAATATCTAAGTTCGTGATACAAGCATTTTAGCTTATCTCCATATATAACCAAGGTGCAGTTGACAGGTTTGGAGTCTACTATATGATCCAGAAATAAGTGATATTTCTTTTCCAAATAACGTGAATCTATAACGGCCTATTTTGACACCCATCCTTCATTCATTGATGGAAGGAAGAGGAAAAGAATGAAGAGTTAAGAAACACTGTAGGAGTTCCTATAACCCCATTCCTGACTTCAGCAAGATAACAAACTCATCCACAAAGTGATTCCATCTATCAGGATAAGGGAGTCCCTTTTTTTTTTTCCCTCTCTTTTTCACCCTCCTAAAAGTATTATAAAGGCTTCAACATTTTTGCTTACCAACGAGAAGCATAAAGACATAAGAGAATACAAGTTCTCTTACTAATAATTGGATCCTCATATTCACTGTTGCTTGTTGTATATATTTCTATCACCTCTCCAAAAAGTCTAAAACGATTAAAAGATCATGATACAAATTTTAATGCATCAACGTCCCAGCATACATTTATTGCAAATTTAGTCAGGTAGAGGTTTCACTGTAGTTGCACCATGCAAGATAACTCCACTATCATGCAGTGGCCAATACCACCAAAAGAGATCTACAAACTATCAGGTCAGCATCCCATTTCTGCATAAAACTGAACCAAAATTGCTGATTCTTTTCCACTTCAAAGTATTTCCATGAAGCTTAGGATACCCATCACACTTTTCCATGAGTTTTAAGCTACAGATTCACCTCTACGAAATAAAGCAAACATCCGTCACCCGTCAACAATTCTAACATTGATCAGAACGTAAAAGTAACTAAGATCGCACGCATTTCTAGTTTCATCTTCAAAGAACTGTCTACTCGACTCACTCGATTCTTCCACATCCATGATCCTAGACAACCAATTATCTACCACAGTTTTGATACCTAAGAAACCAAACATTTTCCATAGTCACAGCAGAGTTTCTTGAAGGCATAAGTCTACCATAAACTCTTGTCATGAAACCTATAGCCGGGGCTATCTTCGCTACAGATGTGGCATGAACTTTGAAACCGATGCAAGAACCGGTTCTCCATCATCCAAGTCCAAGAATGCCCATGAGGGTCTCTAGAATTATGGAGGTGAGAGGAAGCAATCGACGATTCATATCTGGTTAAGAAATTTGTGGAAACAATTACGCAACAATCCTCTCAAGGTACCAAGCCTACGAAAATCGCAACAAGGTCTCCAAAGGACCAAATCTACCACAATCTCTCGCCCCATAGACTAACATCAGGGCTATCTTTGCCAAGATTCCACTTGAATTTGCAACTTCCGATTCAAGAACCAGTTCTCGATCATCAAAAATCAAACAAGCGAGCGAGGGTTCAAGAATTAGGGGGATCGGGGATCCGCAACCGGCGAAGAACTTTGTGGAAACGAAGGTACTAACAATCCTCTGAAGGAACAGTCTACCATAAACACAACAGATTCTCTCGAAGATCCGAGTCTACCACAACCCTTCGCCGGGAAATCTAACACCAGAGCTGCCGTCGTCACAGACGCGGCGAGAATTTGCAATCTCCGATTCAAGAACCGGTCTCCCGTCGTCCGAATCCAAGCACGAGGGTCGACGAAAGAGAGCGTCGTGAGGAAGCGATCGGGGCCCCAAATCTGGCCAAGAAATTTACGGAGATCGATCCACAAAAGATTAGAGCCGAGGAGGGGCGAATACCTTTGGATTCCGTGAGGCACTTTCTTTCCCGTTCTCTCCGCTTTCTCTGCTCAATGAGGTCTCTCGGGTCTCGGCTTCATCGAGATCGGGACCTTTATAAAGGGCGTGGTCGGGGTAGCTGGGCGAAGCCAGCGAAGAGGAACCGAGTGGGCTTCGCCCGGTTGCGTCGAGATTCCATCCGCTCCATTTAGGGTTTTCTTCGGGCCTGCACCTCTTCGTGGGCCGGTGTAGTGTGTCGACCAATCAGAAACCTCGATCGTGAAGGAGCCCATGGGAAAAGCCTGACCCGTGTCACGGTCGACACAAGGGAGCGTCACCGCTCGCGTGCGTGGTCTCACTTCCCGCGGCACAGGACACCGTCGAAAACAAGGTCGGGTTGCCGTCTGCCTGCCGTCACGGAGTTGGCTTTGGATGGGTTGGTGTCAGCAAAGCGACGTGGCACGAATACAACCCTTGGGACATGAGGTCGAGCGCCACAGAAAATAATTGCTCGGGCAAATTTGTTTTCCTCTCTGATAATAATTTTTTCTTATTTTTCTAAACATATTTTCTGCCCAAATTTGCTCAGATAGCGAATAAAGAAAATAATTGCTGGTTTTTCCAATAAGGTATCCCCTGATCGAACATTGATATATATAGTGGGCCTATTGGATCGACGTTAATGGGCCGGCCTATTCTGGAAGGAAAATAAAATAAAATATAGAGGACAGGAACATTGATATATATCGTGGGCCTATTGGATCGACGTCAACGAGAGCATGTTGCCAAGGAATCAACTTCTCTCGATCGACACATCAGTTCCACGTAAGGTCGATCAGTCTATCCCATATGGCTAATGCGATGGAGATACTCGTCCGACTACCCGTCGCCACCTTAGCCTTGCATGATCTCTCGATAAATAAGCCTAATTGATCACCCAATAAATGTCACACGGAGAGGATCACACAATCCCGAGTTCGATGCCAAGCCCTCGTTACCGGATAAACTATGTAATAGGAAGGTGTAACAATCGCAGATGATTATTATAAAAGAGAGCACATAAGTGTATGTCTAAAAATATTCGTATTCTCAGTTCGTCTATTTGATTAGATCATTGAGTTAAACTTTAAAAATATATTTGTCTGAAGTGCCTTATGATAGGGCATATTATGGATTCCCTCATGCGGACATAACCCCCGCCATGTCGGCCAAAGTGAGGGGCCTCGGTTGAAAGACGCAACACCTCATCGAATGCACCACCAAAAATTCGAGAGAACAACTGTCCTCCTCCCACACCATGCCAACCAATGTCGTCGCAACAAGGATCGCTCCGAGAAGCTTGGGATGATGTTGCATGACGCCGTCCCACATATCCTGGGCGACGGACGCCCGAAGGGATACTCATCAATCAGGGAGTCAGCCACCGCGCAAGGGTCGTGTATGATCGACCCCCAGGAGCTATGATAAAAATTCGTTACCAACATCTGACGATGAGCATCGGGAATATCAACAGATCACTAACTTGATCTTTGGATGGGCCTAAGTCGGGACCCCCCTCCTCATCTCGACCTAGGCCTGTGCGTAGGAATCTGGTGGCGACAAAGGCAGACGAGCTCACTGAGAAGGCGGATCCATACCAAATCCGAGCCCAACCCGATCAGACGAAAACCTTGTCCTCGAGACAGTCCTGGACATCGCCGGTCGGACCAAGTCGTACCGACCTCGTGACCAGGTCACAAGGTTTGCAAACACCTTAGATATAATTTTTACAAAATTAGAATGAAAAATTTTCCACTTAAGATCAGTTGAAGAATAATCAAGTTGGATCCGATTCAGCATACGAGTCGGGCCTGAATTTTCTTAACAGGAAGTCATCAGTGACGTTAAATGGGCATCAGAATCTAATCTGAAAAGAACTCAACCGACCAAACCTTTACAACTCACACAATAGCATCCGTTTATATCATCATTCCCTATTACAGGATAACATTCTTCCTTCCCATCTCACACACACTTCACCGACCTGGTTGAGTTGCAGGACTAAAAGGTGGTATTCCCCGGCATAAAGAAGAGCCTTAAGATCATACTAGAAGTGGTGGTTAGATAAAATAACCTTGAAGCTAAAGTTCCATTTCATGCGATGCGATGCGATGGATGCTCGCGTACGCAGCCTCAATCTGAAGGCTCAAAAAGACGGACTGAGACTTCCATCAAGAAACCAGTGAAAGGCTAATCATATCTCTTCTCTTTTCTTAAAGTATGATGGATGATGATCTGATAACATGCAACTCCTATCATTCTTCTGTCATGGAGGACTTTGGGCCCTCACTTTATCAAGCAACGTTCACACTCGCTTATAATACAATACATACGTTGGAATCATCCCATATTTATCCCTTCCTCTATAATTTATTTTTATTTTTATTTAATTAAAATGTATTATATCATGATGTAGTAACGTTCATTAGTGTATTATTATATGAGTTGTTTATAATTAATGTCTCAAGTCGATAAGGACTCACTACTAATTCTATAGGATGACTTATTATTTATTAATCGAGGACGATTAAATAGGAAACATTTTATTTTGTGAATTGAGAATATTAATATACGATTTTTCACTAGAATTAAGTAAGATATATAATTATTTAAATTGTTTGAGAAAATCTAAACAATACTTTCTCTAAAGTGGCAGAGCCTCGTAAATAAACACACTCCCAACTGCTGCCATTACAGGTCGAAAGAGAAAGCGGGCGATTGTACACCTATCGTATACTACAGCCCGCCGCCGTCCGATGCCCATCGGACGCCTCGTAAAGAGGAGCGACTGCGGTGGGTCCCTTCAGATGACGCCCCACGAGTCGAGCGTTGGAAAACTCGGTGCCGCGAGCAACGAGTCGAACTCAGCAAGAACCGGGCCATCGCCACCCGGCCCGACGGTGCCGACTCGGTCGAGAAAGAACGCCGACGTGTCCAGCGTAGGAAGGAGGCAGCTCCCCTGCACGGCTGCGGCGGGCGGCAGCTCCACCGGGAGCCCCGCCCCGTCGACGGGCCGTGTGCCGGTGACCTGCTGGACCAGCTGGCGGAAGTTGGCGGGGTCGGCGTTGATGTAGGTGGTGAGCGAGCGCTTCGTCGCCCGGGACTTGCGCTTCTTGGTGATCCGCCCGGGGGGCGGGTCCCGGCTGCGGGGCAGATCGGGGGCGAAGGGGAGGAGGAAGGAGGAGGTGGCGAGGGAGATGGAGTCCGGGGAGGGGACGGCAGAGGAGGAGGAGGAGGAGGCGGCGGCGTCCGAGAACAGGGAGATCTGGAGGGCTTTGGTGAGGGCGTCGTTCTCGCGGGCGAAGGCGGCCTCGGAGATGCAAGCGTGGGGTCGGCACGTCCACGGATCGAGGCCCCAGCAGTTCTCCGCCATGCTCCGTATCGATCGAGCGTTCCTCCTTCGGGGACGCAGTTCAAAAGGGCGTGGGAGCGACTTTGGAATGAAGGGGTGGAGGAAGCGGCGGGGCATTTTAACGACCAAAAATGGTGGGGTGAGTGGCAAAACCGCGGCGCCCTCCGCCATCGGGCCACGTGTATCCACGCATTGCGCGCATTCACTCCGAAATGGTCACTGACAGATATTTATTTGTATTTTTTCCTCTTAAATTCCTTTTTAATCTGCTCATAATAATCCTTCTCGTTTGGAGGAGTCGTTTTCACACTGCACTGCCGCATAACGGGTAACAGATTATTCCAACTAATAAATCCCATTTGTTCTGTAATATGATGTACTTCTGCCTATGTTATATTAATATTATTATGTTATGCTGTCTATATATATATATATATATATATATATCGGGGACTCACAACGTTATCCCCGACTCCTTC